CTGATGTTTATGTACCATATTTCCTCTAAAATATGCCCCCCCTTCAAAATAGCTTCCCTCTAAAATAAGCTCTCTCTAGAGGTCGATCAAAAAAAATAAGCCCCGTGGGCTTATTTTCGAGGATTTAGGGTATTTAGAAGGGACGGACCTGGTTGAGAGAAAGTTTCAAACTTTTCTAAGGATCTAGTTTCGGATTTCAGGACGAAAAATGTCCTGGGTTTGGTGACCCTATTCATTTCTGGTATCTATTATTGGGACATATCTCAAAAAATCTATCTGACATATCTCAAAAAAATTTTTTTCCAGATCAATTTAGAGATGTTCGCTTACCAGCTTTAGCAATTTGTTTTCTCCCTGTATTGCTTAATAATTCCTTTCTTTAGTAATTTACTTAAAAAAATATTCAAAAAAATATTATTTTAAAGTTATACAGATCTTCTTTCCCTCACAGCTTTTATTTGGGGTATTTCCTCCCATTCTTCTTTAATTTCTTCAATGTTTTTGGCATTAGCAGTGCTTACAAGACAGGCACATTTATTTTCAAAAAATTTTTTTTAATTATTAAAAAAATTTTTTTAAGACCAACATTGTCTGGCCAGCTTTAAGTTGTTTGGCATTTTCATTAAATTTACTCAAACAATTTTTATTTAATCAAATCTCCTTTAAACAATTATTTTTCAAGGCAAATTTAAAAAAATTTTTATTAAAAAAAATTTTTTAAAGACTTTTCAATTTATTTATCAATTTTTGTTGGTTTTTGCTTTTATGTGTTTTCTTGTTTGGAATAATGGAAGTATTGTGCTAGGTGATAAAACAGCACATAAACCGGTTAAAATTTGAATTTTTTAGTTAATTTGGTGAGTTATAAGAATTCTTAGAGAGATCTCCTTACAACTCATTTCTGATTAACTGATAAAAATTTTAAGCCTAAAAGTGAGAGTGATAGGTAGAAATTTCAAGTGACATATCAGCATCTTCTAGTTATAATTCCTTGTGAAATTATTCTCAACAGCTCCCTGGAACGAGGAATCAACCCCGTGGGGCTGTATTTTTCAACTATCCTCCAGACTGGGGCTTTATTAAGGAATGGTGCTCTAATTGAGAAGGGGGCTTTATTTGAAGAAATGACGGAGTAATTATGAAGTGAATTATTTATTTTTTCAAGGCATTTCCGTCTTGATTAACTTTTCTAATTTACTTAAAAATCGGAAAAAAATATCCGTTAAATCATAAAGATTACCTCTTGCTAGCCTCTTACCTCTTTGCTTAACTCAAATTTATTAATTAGAAAAAATTTTTTTCAGGCCATCCATTTACCTCAATTATTCTATTTTGTTGGGTTTACTGCAGCATCTTCCATGCCTTTATTTATTAGCTATTTTTTTCAAAATTATAAGAAAATATTTAATCGGTGAATTAATCTATTTTACAAAATTAACTAAAATTTCTTTCAGTTTTTCTTTAATTTCAATGTTATTTATTTCATTATTTGCCTTTTTATCAGTCAATTGTTGTACTTTAGCTCATCCTTATTTGTTGGCGGATAATAGACATTTTACCTTTTATTTATGGCAACGATTCTTTCAGAGACACTGGATTGTTAGAATTTTTTAAATTTTATTTTATGGGCATTTCTGAATTTTTTCTGATTTATCCTGAGCAGAAGTGTGTCGGAATTCCGACTTCCTATAAAAATTTTGATTTCCGATTTCCGACTTTTGAGCCATTTCGATTTCCGGCAGTTTCGATTTCCGACACCTTCGTCAGTTCCGACACACTTCTGATCCCGAGTTGTCATAGGATCCAATTTCTTTTTATAGTTTCTCGTTGGATCTGGTGATCTAATTGTTGCCATTGGGTCAGATTTTCTTTACACAGTGCTCGTAACCAGAGATTAGACCTAAACGATCTTACAAAGATCTTAGTTATCTAGGGCGCGATTTTTGGTGTCTAGATTAGGGCTGGGGGTCCGGTCCAAAAGATCAAGTCTGGCATCGAATTTTGTCCCGAAAAAGACACGGTCGGGCTAACCATATGAAAATGAATGTAACCAAAAAATGACTCGAACGTCGGCCCGACTCGAAAACTCCAACCCTAATCTCGATCGATGTCTCGATCAATCCTCATACACCTCATACACTGTGTGTGATCTTAACTCTCCAGTTTTAAGTCAGGGTTTTTTGATTCAGAAATTTTAATTATCCTCTATCATCGCTTAATTTCGATACCATTTGACTTAACTCTATAAAATGGCTTCCATGAAATGTATATGTATCTAAGTTAACTCGGTTCAATGGTAGAGTTTCACCGGAATTTCCTGGGATCCGGAACTTAAATTGGATCCGGTTCCGTTCAAAATTTCGGCTCCGGTGAAACACTATTCAATAGCCTCCTATATATTGATATACCTAAATTTGGGGGAGCTTTTTAACTTACTTTTTATCAGTTTTTTGTTATTTTTTATTTTTTAGGCAAAATATTTGGCAATACCCTTCTATACCTTCAGTGCAATTTTTATGTTTAAAATGACCTCAGAAATTCCAAACAAATTAAAGGTCCTTATAAAAATATTTCTTCACTTTAAAAATCTTTTTAGGCCTTTTATCTTGTCTTTACCTCACTTTGCCTCATTCCAGCCTTTTTATTAGAATTTCGTTATTTTATTATACCGTTTGCTTTATGGCGCCTTTCATTAGATTATCAATCAAGAAAAGCACAATTTTTCGAAATTTTGATTAATTTAATGGTAATTTTGAGGGATTTTTTAACCAAAAAATTTATTTTAGGTCTCTTCTTTTGTTCTCTATTTATTTTTAAATAGACCTTTTAAATGGTCTAATGATCCAGAAAAGTGGCAGCGGTTTATGTGGTGAAACAATAATAAAAGAAGAAGATTTTTAAAAATATAAAAATTAAAATTTACATGGATATATGTATATTGAAATAAAAAAAAAATTATATTTTTGAAATTATATTTTGAAATAAAAAGTCAACATTAATTAAGTTAGAATAAAAAATGAAAAAAAAACGAAAAACAATATTGAAGGGTCGCACGAGGATGATATGTATCTTGAAAAATCTCGATTCTCGATGACGGATATTTGTGTAGAATCTCGTCTCGGTCTGGCCTCTACTTAATAGTCCTGAACATGTTTTCTCATGAACTTCTAATATAAAATTACGATTAATTCAGTGTTAGCGGGATGAATTAAGCAGTAAGTAGAGGGGTACTTTTCCGTTATGACGTAACCCCCTAAATTAATGATCAAAATGTCATATATAGGGTAGAAAAAGGTGCTGAGTCGAAAGGTACCACTCTTTTCCCGGAGATGCTTGTGGACCGAGATATAGGGCTCGAAATGGTCAAAAACCATAGGTAGTAAATTCATTTTTGGGGTATCGAGAAAGTTCATTTTTGGGGTATCGAGAAAGTTCATTTTTGGGGTATCGAGCTGCGTTGAATGACACCAAAATCAGCTCGAGATCTTGATTATGAGCCGAGATAAACAGGTTCAAAATGGTCAACGTAAACCTATGGGGAGTACATGGGTACTAAATTTCCAAATTTAAAGTACACTCCAAATTAAATTAGAAAAATCTTATATTTCTCTCCTAAATGAATCTTTAATAATTTCTTGTTTCCACTGAGCATTTTGTGCATTTCAATGCATGACATGTCAAAATTCGCTGACACAAGAAGTAAAGCCCCGTTCGACTCAGCTCGTCGAGACGAATCGAATGACATATGTTTCGACCCAGTTTGGAGACGGCCCTCGACTAAACTACAACCATTTTTATGTTAAACTGACACGTCGCTTCATGCTTAATTCGGTCCGAGGTTCGAAATAAATATAATTTGAACTCATATTCGGACTCAACACACTCGATTACAACCCTTAAAAGTACCGAAAGACCACTCTTCCGTATTTTTTAACGAGATGAATAAACAAGAAAAATGCATCATACAAAACCGATTATTACCAAATCTTTTAAAATTTTTAATAATATAAATAGAAAATTTGTAAGAGTTTTTTGAAAATAATTTATTTAAAAAATTTGACTTTAAAAATTAAAATATAAATGACTTATATTGGCATTTTAAATTATTTTTTAGGCACATAATATAAACCGATAGCTAGAAAAGTAATCGGACCTCAAATAAGGTAAACATTTGGGCTGAAAAATTATATCTTATTATGAGAGGTACTTAATTAGGGATATTGCTTAGACATCTTATCCCATCCCAAACTATTTAAAAAATCATAAATAGAGGTGTATCTAATATTAGATTTGAGGTCCGACTAAAATATTCATAAAGAAAGCTGAAAAAAATACACTGAGAATAAAGAAAATTATAACTTGTTATAGAAAATATTTTTAAAAATATTCAAATTCCCCGTAGTTTATTTATAAATAAAATCCAAATACATATTCCACTCAAATTAATTCATTGAAGACATTACAATTAATAGTATGTTCACACATTCCGAAAGAAAAGCATAAACAATCATCTTTAAAAGATTTAATATATTTTTTAACTATAAATTTGGCTCTTCTCTGCCTTGAAACAGAGCTGCGTCGAAATCTCGATTTTCGACGTTTTTTTTATAAAATTTCTATTTTCGATGTTTTTGGATTTTCTTTTGATTTTTGATTTCCGAAAATTTTTTTGTTTCGACGCTAAAAACTAAAATCGAAATTCCAAGTTTTTTAAAGGAAATGCGCCTATGCCTTCGAAGCAGAGGAACAGTTATCACGGGAGGTACCTGAATGCTTTCATTAAAAATTACCGAGCTTCTTTTGTCCATAAATTCCATCCTTACTAAGAACATGTTTGACAATAATTACATTATCACAACAAAGAAAAATCTGCAAATTAGAACTAGGAACGGATTCGACTGGAATTATTAAGTTAACTACTTTTGTTGTATTAAACCGATGAAGCTTTAAAAAATATTTTAATGAAAAGTACTTAATAAAAACTTTAAAATCTGGAGCAGTTATTTGTAAATAGTCATAATACTTTGAGGTATTTCCCCTCTGCACTTGTTGTATCTTAATTAGAAGTATTAAAAATATTTCAAAGATTAAAAATATTCATAATTAAATTCAGTGCTGGGTATTTGACATTTGCTGGCTCCGGCTCCCGGCATTTCAAATTCATGGCTCCGGTTCAGGGTTCCGAAGCTAGCTCCCGGAGCCATGCCCAGCACTGGTTAAATCACAAACTCCAACAAAGTACCTGATTGTATAAAGTGGAATAAGACTCATCTCCTCTAACGGACATTTTTGCCTTATTTGGAAGGAATTCTTCTTTATACCATTCATTTGCATCACATTTACGATATGCTATCCCACTTGGAAGGTAACTTTAAATTAAAAAAATTTTAAATTTCAAAATCAAATCAAACATTTCTATCTTTTTTTGGTCAAAAAATTCTGTCCTTTCCCCATCAGGTTTAATCACAGTCTCATCCCTATTTCTCCAACATATTTCTAAACCTCCAGAAAGATAAAATTTAATAATATTTTGATTTGGTGTAATTATTTTATAATATTTATTGCCTTGGAGAAAATTTATCTATAAGAAATAATCAAAATTATTTGAGAATTTATGGCTTTAAATTATGATCTAATTTCCCTTTTCTCCTTGACAAAAGAAGTATAATTAGGTATATTTTTTTAATTTTAATATGTACCTCAAAAGCAAACGTTTATAAAAATTGTAATTAATTGATGTTCGGGGAAATTAGGGAGAAAGGGGAATTTTTTATGAGACTCAGCTTTAAATTAGATATAATTAAAATAAAATTTGCTGATTAAAAATAAAAATTTACTTCAACTTTGTTTTTGTTTAAATTATAATTGGATATGGGCAGAGGAACTGTTGTCCAACGAAAATAATTGGAATCCGACCGGTCTAAATTATTATTTTCGCTAGTAGATTTTGGTTGAAATTCATATAAAAGACATTGCTGTTTATATGGCGGTTGACAACATAAATCAGATTTAACAACAATAATTTCATTATTCCCATCGCTAAAGGTAAACTCATTTCCACGTGTAGTCAGATTATGCATTTTCCTTACCTTTAGAAAGAAATAATGAAATAAATTTCGAAAACAAACCATCTCAGATGGCAAATGAAATTGTTGATTTAAAGAAAGTTCCGTGTTATTAAATGTCGTATGATTACTAGGAGCTGGAACTAAATTTACGGGTTCTTCGGTAGAGTTATTAGCGTGCTGTTTGTATCGAGTATTTAAAGAAGCGACGGAATTAGATCGGCGTATAAAAGTTTTATCAGATGAAGTTGAAGTTGTGTTATTATTAAGTTTAGAAACTGAATTCTTTGGAAATGAATCTATTCGACTAGAATGTTGATTTAAGCGAAAAACATTAAGCTGTGTGTCTCTTGACACAGAAGAGTTTGTTTTATATGTTTCATTTTTATTTTTTTGCAAATTAATTTGTGATGCTGCCAATTGTTGTTTTTCCTTCTTCATCAAGTTTAATTCAGAACGAAGAGTGGTATTCTCTCTCTAAAGATTAAAAAAATAATTAAAATTTCATTTAAAAACTTGTGCTCTAGCCAACTCATTTTCTCGAACATCTAATTCTTCTTCTAAACCTTTAATTTTTAATAAAGACAATCCATCATTTGCTTTTAATTGTTCTACCTATAAATAATTTTTATTAATATGGGTAAAAATATTTTGTCCTTAAAATATTTTTAAGTTTTTTTTTGATTGTTCCTTAGAGTTTTCCAAAATAACCATAAATTTACACTATAGATGAACTATTTTCAATGCCATTTTATTGGCAAGAAATAGTGATTTTAAAATTATTATATGCAAAAATCCCCCGTTATAAATAATTCTTATTAATATACTTGTGTTTCCAATTCATTTATTCTAAGTTCTAGCTGCTGAGAATTACTTTGAACCGTAGGAGCATTCGGCTGCTTGAAATTTGGTATCTCCAAAGGCTGAATAAGAGAAAAGATGTTTGATTAAAAAAATAAATTTAATAAATACAGCAAAAATAGAAGCATTTAAAAAGTCAGAATCTGCAAGACAACTCTCGTTTTCCACAGATTCATTACAAAAATTTGAATTTCCTTTAGCCCCGCTCATAATCGTCTGAAAATTAACTAAAAAATGAAAGTTAGAGGATTGGAACTAGAGATTGAGATATATATAAAAATACGTGTTGAAAATCTACAACAAATTTTTAAAAATTTAAGAATTATTCAATTGTGTATAAATTAAAGAAAAAATAGTAAAATAGTTCCGGTTATTGACCAACACGGGACGGGATCTTGCGCGAGATTTTGTAGGATACCGCTTGAGCAATCCGCTGTTTTTGATTCACGAAATAAAGTATCTATCCTCATATACCGTCACTTATGTTTTAGAAAAAATTATTCATGCGGGATTCCTAAAAATATTTTGCCTTAGTCTAGAAAATCATAAAAAATTTAAATTTCTCGTACATTTCCCATTTACAATAAAGTGAAAGGTACAAGACAAAAATAAAAAGGGTATGAGCTGAGAATAAAAACGGCGAGTGAATAGTAGTAATACTAGTACGAGAAAAAATAAGCCTTGTACGAAGTACAAGTACAGAAAAATTTAGATTCTAAAAACTAAACGAAAACGAAAATATATGTATATTTAGCGAAACAATAAAAGCAAAGTAAAAAGAATTTTTCAAGCGAAACACTACACGAAATCATCAAGAATCCAAGTAAATCTAGTAAACATGTAATGAAAATTATTGTGTATTTCAGCGAGAAAGTCGGGCAGAACAAAAGTACAAAACAAACGAATAAAAACTTAAGTAAAGAAAAAGAAGAGAAATTTTCAAAATAAAACGGAAATGTACATAGAGGCGAGCTGGACCTGGACCAAGGCCTGGATTTTTCTTGTACCCAGAATCCAGGTCCAGGCATTTTTTGACCTTATTGGGTTTTTCCTGGGCAAGAGTTTTACCTGAACTACAGGCCCAGGATCCAGTCAAGTGAAGAAATCAAACTCAAGAGTCAAGGAACAGGTCCAAACTTTTCAAAAATCTCGATCTCTAATGTACAAACACGAAGCAAAATTATTCTGTATTTATCGGAGGAAGTCGGAAATAACGAAACCAGCGTCATCAATCGCGCGGTGTAGCCATCTCATTGCTGCATCATGTAAATCCATTGTTCTCTAGTATTTCTATCAATTGAATTCAAATATGTCCACAGTTGCCATCAGAAAAACAAAGATATTTACCTTTAAAAATTTATAATGCTTAAATATTTTAGCTTTTGTTTACGAGCAGTTATTTTTTTGAAATTACCAAGTTCCTTTTGTCCACAAATCCCCTTTTCCATACGAACATGTTTAATCATAAGGGGATTGTCTACACAAAGCCAAAATTCTACACTTTCGCCAGGAAATGATTCGACTGGTATTTCTATCTGAACAGCTTTTGTTGAGTTAGAACGACGAAGCTTTAAAAATATTGTTAAAGAATAGAATTTATTAAAAACTTTAAAATCTGGTGCATTTATTTGTAAATAATCATAATACTTTGAAGTATTTTCCATGTGGATTCGTTGTGGCTTTAAATTGAAAAATATTAAATGAAAATTAAAAAATTTTTAAATTCAAAAAATTTGTGAAAAAATGAAAAAAATTTATTTTAACAATTCCGGCAAGATTAAAAATAATTTATAGCTAGATTACAAACACCAACAGAGTACCTGGTTGTATAAAGTGGAATAAGACCCGTCTCCTCTAACGGACATTTTGGCTGTATTTGGATAGAATTCTTCTTTATACCATTCATTTGCATCACATTTACGATATGCTATCCCACTTGGAAGGTAACTTTAAATTAAAAAAATTTAAATTTTAGAATCAAATCAAACATTTCTATCTTTTTTTGACCAAAAAATTCGGTCCTTTCCCCATCAGGTTTGATCACAGTTTCATCCCCATTTCTCCAACATATTTCTAAACCACCAGAAAGATAAAAATTAATAATATTTGCATTTGGAGTAATTATTTTGTAGTATCTATTGCCTTGGAGAAAGTTTATCTACAAGAAAAAGATTGATCTAATTATTATTTTCATAAATTAGCCTTAATCGCCCATAATAGTCCCTAATCTTACCAAGATAACCCCCCCTTAATTCTCTCATAATCCCTCTATGTCCTTTAGTCTAAACTGCAATTTACCGGGCGATTTTAGATTTAGATTAAATATCTATATGTCATTCGAAAAAGCTTGACGCAACACCTCGCCTGAAAAAGTTTGCCGCTACGGAAGCCGGGATGTCTTTCGGAGCTACAGCCTCGGCCAGATCTAGAATCACCCGGTAAAATGAAGTCTCTCATAATCCCTCTATGTCCTTTAGTCTAAACTGCAATTTACCGGGCGATTTTAGATTTAGATTAAATATCTATATGTCATTCGAAAAAGCTTGACGCAACACCTCGCCTGAAAAAGTTTGCCGCTACGGAAGCCGGGATGTCTTTCGGAGCTACAGCCTCGGCCAGATCTAGAATCACCCGGTAAAATGAAGTCTCTCATAATCCCTCTATGTCCTTTAGTCTAAACTGCAATTTACCGGGCGATTTTAGATTTAGATTAAATATCTATATGTCATTCGAAAAAGCTTGACGCAACACCTCGCCTGAAAAAGTTTGCCGCTACGGAAGCCGGGATGTCTTTCGGAGCTACAGCCTCGGCCAGATCTAGAATCACCCGGTAAAATGAAGTTAGGCCGGCGTTATCCCACTTAATATTTCGTTTTTCACTCGATATCCCTCATAATCAGTTAAGATCCCTTGATATCCATATTAATCCACCCAAATCAAAATCGTCTAAATTTTCTAATTAAAAAAATTTACTTCAATTTTTTGTATCTTTAAATTTGAATGTGATAATGGCAATCGAGGAACGGTTGTCCAACGAAAATATTTGTATTTAGACTCATTTAAGTGGTCATTTTCACCAAATAATTTATTCGGATATTCATATAAAAGGCAATACTGATGACCACATCCAGAGAGTTCAACAACAATAATTTCTTCATTTTCATTTTTGAATGTAAATTCTTTACCTCTTTCAGTCAATATATACATTGTATTCACCTTTTAAAAAGAAATGATGGTAATAGTTCGGTTCGTACTTTCCCCCTCCTTTTTCCTTTTTAAACGTATTAAAAATGGTCAGTCAGTCTTAGGTTATCTAACTTCAATGTCATTCGAAACAGCTCGACAAGCTCTTCCGAATGAGCTATTATTTGTTTAATCGAATTTTTAGCCCAGAAAATGAACTTGGTTTACCCTTTTATTTTTCAATTTTCGAGGGCCAGTCTCTCGGCCCAAAGTTAAGACTGAGGGCTGATTTTGGTGTCATACGAACGGAACTATTACCGAAATAATAAAATAAATTTTTAAAAATAAACACCATTTTAGATGGTAATTCAAATTTTTGATTTAAAGATGAAATTTCCATGTCGTTAAATGCCAAGGGTGTAAGAGAATTAAATAAATTCACAGGCTGATCAACAAATTGGGAGTAGGAATTCTCTTGCTAAAATTCAAAAATGAAAACTTGAGTAAAATTCTGAAAAGACCTCTGTATTATCCAAAATTTCACTATAATCATTAATTTTTGTATTATCCTCCTTAAATGATTTTCCAAAGGCATTGACTTCTCCTTCCAATAATTTAATTTTTGCATGTATTAGCTTCAAATAAATGAAATAATTTTGATCAAATTTTAACTAGACCTCTAGTTCCAACTCTTTTATTTTATCAGAAGCCTTTGCTTTATATTCATCGCATTGGAAACCAAACCGAATATCTTCTATTTTTGCCCATTCATGGATTTTTTGTTGATTAAACTTGGCCATCTCTTTATGGAAATTATCCCAATTTGCATTTAATTGGTGTTGTTTTCGTTCAAAATACTTTAAAATATTTTTTAAAAAGACAAGATAATAATTTTTTACATCAAACAAATTTTCAAATCGAGTAACCAAATTTTGAACAATTTTGCCACTTGTTCTGTCCATGTTATCTATATCTTCTCGGAATGACTCTATAATTGGAGAAATGGCACGACCTCCACTATTTTGTAAATAATGAGAGCTATTTGAAATAAATTTTTAAAAATTAAAAAAGAAAAAGGACCATTTCAAAAGTTCAGGTTTTTGTATTTTCTCAGCTGATTGCTGAGAGGTGCTTTGAAGTAAAGGAGCATTTGTCAGAGTCTAAATAAGAGGGAAGGATATTACTTCAAAAAAGAAATTTAGATTAAAAAATACTCCAAAAACAGATGAAGTTGTTGAAGAATTAGAATCCGGTAGACAATTCTCCTTTTCCAAAAATTCAGGAAAATCAAACGAATCTTCTTCAATTCCGCTCATATTTCAGAATTTAACAATAAAAATTCCAACTAAAAATTAAAAAAATTTAAGTCCAATTATAAGAAAATCTTTAATCTAGTGAATAGGGAAAATACAGTAGGATTAAAAGTTGATTATGTGGCTCGCGACAAAATGTCTATTCTATATTTTATTATCAGAGGTACGGTTCATCACTGGATTGAGAATTAAATAAAATACAATATTCCAAAAAATCAAAATTTTCGACTAGGGCTGGGGTTTTCGAGTCGGGCCGACGTTCGAGTCATTTTTTATTGGACCGGCTCGACCGAGTCTTTTTCGGACCGAAATTCAAGGCCCGACACGATATTTCGGTCTTGGCAGGATCGGGCCCCCAACCCTATTTTCGGCAGATTGATAAAAACAAAATTTGATACAAAATATTAAATCTAAATCTTTTAAATAAATGGCATTTTCGAAGCTTTATCAACGTAAATTTTTTATTGATAATTCGAAAATTTTGAGTCTTCTCTATCTTTTAGTGTATTTCCATGTCCAGTTGTACTTGGACATTAAAAATTTTTTATCTTGATATGTTAAAGGGAGTTGAAGATATACTGAGCCGGTAATCAATCGGAAATTTGGCATAAAAATTTAAATAAAAAATACAAAATTATATTATAGATTAAAGCGACATGTGTTTACTAAAATTTAGAAATTGTATAAATAAAAAACGAAGTAATAGAAAATAATTCACTGCGGAGGCACTTATATGTATTCTCTCCATCAATAAAAAGATTAATTTTCGAAAAAGTATGGGAATATGGGAGGAGAAATATTTTTGTTTAAAATGTGGATTGTGGCATTTCAGATGACCCCAAGTGACGCAAATTTTTTTTTCTCCTCAATTCTTCATGTGTGCGTGCCCTCGTTTTTATTCGAAACATTATCAGAGGCAAATAAAAAAATTTTGGGGAATTTTCTCAAGCTTCTCAAAAATAATTTTCCTCAATTTATGAAGTATATTTTCAAAAATTATTTTTAGGTCATATTTTGAATCAAATTCGAAAAAGTCGAAAAAATCGAAAATTTTGCTGAATATTTTCCGAATAAAGTAAAAATTCTAAAAATTCGACTTTTAATTATTTCCAAAAATAAAACAAAAAATTTTCCTTTTTTTGTTAACATTATTGAAAAAAACAAAGAAAACTAGTAGTAGATTAATAATTTTATTATTAAAAACATTTTCTTTATTTTCCCGAACTTGCAAATGTTTTAATAATGTTTCTATTTTTTGTTGGCTATTTTTAATGGAAAAAAAGGAAATAATATTTTCGGGAATCTATTATTCTCCCTTTGTATTTTAATATATTTAAAAGTAAATTTATTTGGTGTCCGCTCATTTGCTGTCCATTTCTTAGAACTTTCTTGGATTTTTTAGAAAATTTCTTAGAACTTTAATTTAACAATATTTCCTTAGAAATTTAAATTATTTATTAAACAAAAAAAATTTTTGTTGGTAATCCTTAAGAACATTGATTCTAAAACGAAGAGTAAGTGCTCTCTCATATATTTTAATGAGTCACTCAGCCTGGGGAGACGATTCAGAATAGCCTTAGTATCTTATAAATTTTAATCAAATTCGATCTTATCGGATTGGAGAATGGGGGGAGGGGGGGGGGGAAGGAATGGATTGGGATTGGAGTGGGATTCGAAATTGGGGCTGGGATTCGAAAATCAAATTCAGTTTCGACTCAGCACATTCGATTACCTAATGGCTCAAAAATATCTAAGAGCACTTCTTGCCCATTTTTTTTAGGAAACAATACTCTTAAGGATTACCGAAATTTTTCTGAAATTTTCTACCTTATTTCCAAGCTTAATTGAAAAAATGTTTTTCACATTATTTACTTTATTCCTAAGCTTTATTACGCTTAAAAGTGTTAGTTCTCAATGGGATCCAGGAATGGGTGGAGGAGGTATGGGAGGTGGCGGTGGTGGTGATATGGGAGGTGGTGGTATGATGATGGGTGGAGGAGGTAAATGTTGGTTGTTAACGTAGCTTAAAAATATTTTTGAAGGAATGGGTGGTGGAATGCCTGATGGAGGCGGGGGAATGATGAGCGGAGGTGGAGGGATGATGGGAGGGGGAGATATGGGCGGTGGTGGTGGAATGATGGGAGGTGGAATGGGAATGGGAGGTGGTATGCCCGATGGAAATATGGGAATGAGCGGTGGAGGAATGGGTATGGGATATGGTGAGTGAATCCTTTCCTATCTGTCCTTAATTGAAATGAAATTCTACTCAAAAGGTGGAGGAATGTCCGGAGGTGGCATGCCCGACGGTGGAATGGGTGGTGGTATGTCTATGGGTGGTGGAGACATGAACGGAGGAGGAGGAATGGGGATGGGTGGAATGGGCGGTGGAGGTGGCCCAGGCGGTGATATGGGCGGTAGTTATTTTAGCTAAATTTTATGATTTTTAAAATTAATTCAGGAGGAATGGGTATGGGTGGAGGTGGATCTGGAGGTTTCGGTTCGATGCAGGGTGGTGGTTATGGTGGTGGATATAGCGCATCAGCGCGTAAATAATTACATTATTTTTTTAAATTTTATAAGTATTTATTAAAGCATAAATTTTAGAGAATTTTTAGAGTTTTAATATCTTTTTGGAATACTGTAGGACCTTACATTATATACAAACAATATTAGATACTTGAGACAGCCCTATTTTTCTCTACCGAGAATCTCAGTCTAAAAATCTCGACTCTCTTCTCGCTTGAGTCTCTCGATCTTAATAACCTCTATGTAACAGACACCTCATTATAAGGCACAATATTTTTAGCCCCAAGGTGACTTATAGTGAGGTCCTACTGTAGCCTTCGCAAAAAATTTTCAGCTTCAATGGGCTATAATCTAAAAATTGCTGAAGGCCTTCCACCAATTCATATCCCCCCATATTCTGCTGAGGAAGATGCTGACAACAAAAAAGTGAAGCCGATTGTTAACCCTTTAAGAACTTGATAACCTCAATTTTAGAATATTAAAAAGCGGGATAGGTTAATGTAATACTGTTTTGAAAATTTTGGATATTTATTTTAACAAATTTAATATTTTATATTCTTAATTAATTTATAAATACTGAATAAAATCTAAATAATATTTCAAAAATTAGAATAGAAAAATTAGAATTCTACTTATGAAAATCTAATTCTTTCAAAAACTATTACTTTAATAATACCACCATTGAAAAAGTCATTGATTCCATTAAGGATCTAGGCATACACACTTATAAAAATCTTAAATGGTCTAATCATGTTCTAAAAATTACTCGTCAAGCTTATGCTCGACTTTATACTCTTTTAAAAGCTATTAAATAGGTCACTTCGTCATAAATATACTGAAAATCTTAGTTATGAAAAATTATTAATTATGTTCAAATTAAAAACATTAAAGGATAGGCGACTCGTACTGGACCTAATTTGTTATCATAAAATAATTTATGGACTTATCACAATAAATAAACAATACTACCCTAAAATTTTATCAGGCATTACTCGAAATAAATTTAAAATTAATTGTCAAATAGCTAATACTAATATTAAGCACCATTTCTTTTTAGATAAAATGGCAAGGCTCTATCCTAAATTACCACACGACATATTAACTTGTACTAAATCATCCACTTTCAGACAAAAATTACTTAACTTTGACATCTCCAAAATTGCGTAATAATTATAGACCCCTATTTCCCGTTGATTTTCAGATCCGAGATCTCGATGAAAAAGTTATTTAGAGACTTCGTTTTTTGTCCTTCTACTCAATATCAATGAAAATGCACAGAAAAATTTTCGCAAAATTTTTCAAGCATTTCTAATATGAAAAATAAGATTTTTAAAAAGTGTTATATAATTTCTTAACACCTGTTTTTATGAAAAATTGGAATAAAAAATTTTCTTGGCAAAATAAACTTAAGATATTATGGATATATTGTATAAATTACATTTAATAACTATTGTAAAAATTACAACTTCATAAACCTTCGGGAACCCAGGGAAAAAAGAAAAATATTAGTGTTCATATAATTTATTAACACACTATAATTGGAAATTTTAAATTTTTAGTATCATAAACCAGACAAAAATTTTCAATTAAAATAATTTAATCTGTTTCTTTATCTTTTTTTCCATTTCTAAAATCATTTCAATTTGTGCAATAAAATTAGGCTGCCCCATTTTTTGTTCTAAATGGCAAAACTTGATTTTTTCTGAATTTAAAAATTAAGATTTTTTTTATAAATTTCTAATAAACTTTCAATGCCATTCTTTCTGAAATTCAGCTTTTTCTCTCCTTTTTAAATCTTTTGACATTCAATTTCATTTTTTCGTTCTTCACGTAATTTTTTCTAATTTTGTTGTGCACGTTTATAAGCACTTTGATAGCCTTTTCTAAATTAATTTGAAAGTTTATTTTTTGTGAAATTAAAAAATAGATTTCAGCTTATAGGTATGTACTTATATGGGAGGATTAAATTAATAATATGCTTACTTTGCTGTCAATAAAATTCTAGCAAATAGAGTAGGCTTCACCAACTGCTAGAAGGCATCGAAAATGAGTTCGACGTAAGAAATAATAGGGTGCTCATAAAAAATAAAGGTTTTGGCTGAACGGAATTTTAGATCTCCAGCCTTTTTAGTCAACTATAGGCTTTATTTTGAAGAGGGGAATTTTTTACAAAATCGCTTTAGATTATCTGTTTTAAAATTTTTCAGTTCTGTTTACATTAAAAAATCTGGTTTTAAATCCTATCCAGACCTCCTATATCCAAAGTATATTTATAAAAAAATACCGTTTAACTATATTCGATTCAACTTCCTCATCATCCTTAACCTGTCCACGCGCTGTTTTACTAAATTTTTTTTGTCGAACATTCTGATTATTTTTGTGTCTCGTAAAGTTATCTCTATCGATTTTCTCCATATCCAATTAATTTAAATTAAAAACAATTTTCTTTAGAATTTAAAAAATATATTATTGAATAAACTATATGTATGAATTTAAAAAAATTTTTTTAATTTTATTGTAAAATTTTGACTTTAGAAAAATATAAATTATTTTAAGCACACGTTATGTATAAATTAAAACGAAGCCGAACCTCATTAATAGGGCGTGTAATTATATGGAAATCCATATTTTTTTCCTGAATTCCTATGACCATGAAACGTACGAAAAACATGTTTTTGGCCTGTTTTAGGGTTTCTAGAATGGTCTTTATAATCCATATTTTCCATATTTTTCCATATTTTGGCATTATGCCCATATTTTCCATATTTTGTCCATATTTGGTCATTTTTTGGTAAATTTTACTAAAAATAGGCGAAAATTTTCAAAATTTTGGAAATTTTTGCTCAAAAAATTTTTTTGGAAATTTTTCGGAAAAATTTATTTCCAAAAAAATTTTAACAGAAATTTTAATTCCATAAAATCCTTTAGAATGTTCTTAAAATGCAAAGTTAAAGGCAAAATTATTGTTTTCTATATAAAATACTGATTTTTAAAATATCTTTTGACTATTTTTTGATCCATATTTCGAGATTTTATAGCCATATTTAGTGTTTATTTTCATATTTATATCCATATTTCGGGATTTTATATCCATATTTTATTGCCATATTTTTCGATTTTATATCCATATAATTACACGCCCTACTCATTAATAGGATAAACAATCAGAATTAAAAATAATATCTTATGATTGTTACTTAATCAAGGGGTGTCGTTTAAACACCTTCCCCATTCGGTAGCCAAACAAATTTCAAAAAACATCCTTAATTGAGGCGTATCGAGTGTTAGATTTTATTATGAGGTCCGACTTAAATATTTTTAAGGCAAAAAATGAAAAAAAATGTACCCTGAAGAAAAAAAATAACTTGAAAAAAATATCCAAAATTATCTCAAATAAAAAACATAAATTAAACACTATTTACATCTCCACCAGAATATAGCATTTTAATCACTTCAATATATATGTTGTTTGCAATCTCCATATGAAATGCATATAGATTTATCTGTAAAAGATTTAATTTTACTTATTCCCTGCGAACCATTTGTAACATCAACTAAAATGCGGACTGGGGGGGGGGGGAATAAGTACCGATTTAATAATGCTTGCCCATATTAAAACAATATTTGCGTTAATATCGAAATTTCGACATAGGTGATTTTAGGAAATGCGCCTCAAAATTAAGAGACTGAAAAATAGCTGCATATTTGGTAACAAAACATTTCTATAAAAAAATTACTTTGATTTTCAACGTGTTTAACAACAATTGAATAATCATTACAGATTTTTACTTAAAATATAATTACGTGAAATAGGCCCTTCCAGAATTGTAACCGTAATTGTTTTTGTTAACATGTCACGTTTGAGCTTTAAAAAATATTTTAAAAAATATATTAAAAAGAAGAAAAAAATGTAAAATCATTGCTGACAATTCGTAAATATTTTTTGACGCGTCCCTCCTTAAAATAAAAAATAATATGTGAATGAACTTTTAATTACTCTTTTTTCTAAAGCTGAATAAGAGCCATCTTGACGTTCACTCATTTTATCCAAATTAGGAGAAAATTTTTCTTGACGCCATTTTTTGGAAGCAGATGAACGATAAGCTTCTCCAGAAGCAAGGTAACTTTAAACGAAAAATTTTAAAATAAAAAAATAAAAACAAACATTTCTTCGAGTTCTAACCCATAATATTCATATCTGTTACCGTCTGGTCGTATCACTGTTTTATCATTGCATCTCCAATGTACACTTAATTCACCATCAGAAGAAAAACGAATATAATTTCCTTGCGGTGTGAATATTTCAATAAATTCGTGAAGAAAACTAATCTTAAAAAATAATGAAATTTATTTTCAAATTTTTACTAAATTTAATCGTCTTTTGATCTAGTTACCGCCAGGAGAATATATTAAAAAATTGGTAACGTGTTATAATACCAAAAGCTTGAAATATCAAACCCCTAAATATTGTTAAAATACCAAACCGTGGAAAAAACTAATTACCAAATAAATAAAAACTATAAAAGTCGGAACAACATCACCTTCGTTAGAACAACATCCCCCGTCGTTGGAACAACAGCCGCCGTGTTTGGTTTTCACATTTGGTATTTCGAGGGATTTTTGGGGTTATCCACGGTTTGGTATTTCAATCTTTTGGTATTATAAACAAATCTTTAAAAACTGTTAAATATAAATGAAAACAATACCTCAATCTTGTTTACATCAGAATCAGATTTTGAAGATCGAGGCTCGCTTATCGAGGCCTCATCATCCTTAACCTGTCCACGCGCTGCTTTATTAAATTTTTTTGTCGAACATTCTGATTATTTTTGTGTCTCGTAAAGTTATCTCTATCGATTTTCTCCATATCCAATTAATTTAAATTAAAAACAATTTTCTTTAGAATTTAAAAAATATATTATTGAATAAACTATATGTATGAATTTAAAAAAATTTTTTTAATTTTATTGTAAAATTTTGACTTTAGAAAAATATAAATTATTTTAAGCACACGTTATGTATAAATTAAAACGAAGCCGAACCTCATTAATAGGGCGTGTAATTATATGGAAATCCATATTTTTTTCCTGAATTCCTATGACCATGAAACGTACGAAAAACATGTTTTTGGCCTGTTTTAGGGTTTCTAGAATGGTCTTTATAATCCATATTTTCCATATTTTGGCATTATGCCCATATTTTCCATATTTTGTCCATATTTGGTCATTTTTTGGTAAATTTTACTAAAAATAGGCGAAAATTTTCAAAATTTTGGAAATTTTTGCTCAAAAAATTTTTTTGGAAATTTTTCGGAAAAATTTATTTCCAAAAAAATTTTAACAGAAATTTTAATTCCATAAAATCCTTTAGAATGTTCTTAAAATGCAAAGTTAAAGGCAAAATTATTGTTTTCTATATAAAATACTGATTTTTAAAATATCTTTTGACTATTTTTTGATTCATATTTCGAGATTTTATAGCCATATTTAGTGTTTATTTTCATATTTATATCCATATTTCGGGATTTTATATCCATATTTTATTGCCATATTTTTCGATTTTATATCCATATAATTACACGCCCTACTCATTAATAGGATAAACAATCAGAATTAAAAATAATATCTTATGATTGTTACTTAATCAAGGGGTGTCGTTTAAACACCTTCCCCATTCGGTAGCCAAACAAATTTCAAAAAACATCCTTAATTGAGGCGTATCGAGTGTTAGATTTTATTATGAGGTCCGACTTAAATATTTTTAAGGCAAAAAATGAAAAAAATGTACCCTGAAATAAAAAAATAACTTGAAAAAAATATCCAAAATTAACTCAAACTATAAAAAACATATAAATTAAACACTATTTACATCTCCACCAGAATATAGCATTTTAATCACTTCAATATATATGTTGTTTGCAATCTCCATATGAAATGCATATAGATTTATCTGTAAAAGATTTAATTTTACTTATTCCCTGCGAACCATTTGTAACATCAACTAAAATGCGGACTGGGGGGGGGGGGGAATAAGTACCGATTTAATAATGCTTGCCCATATTAAAACAATATTTGCGTTAATATCGAAATTTCGAAATAGGTGATTTTAGGAAATGCGCCTCAAAATTAAGAGACTAAAAAATAGCCCCCATATTTGGTAACAAAACATTTCTATAAAAAAATTACTTTGATCATGAACGTGTTTAACAACAATTGAATAGTCTATGCATATTTTTACTTCAATATAATTACGTGAAATAGGCTCTTCCAGAATAGTAACCGTAATTGTTTTTGTTGACATATCGCGTTTAAGCTTTAAAAATTATTTTAAAGAATATATTAAAAAGAAAAAAACTGTAAAATCATTGCTGACAATGCGTAAAGATCTTTTGTCTAAAAATGAATAAGAGCCATCTTGACGTTCACTCATTTTAGACAAATTAGGAGAAAATTTTTCTTGACGCCATTTTTTGGCAGCAGATGAACGATAAGCTTCTCCAGAAGCAAGGTAACTTTAAACAAAAATTTTTGAACAAAAAAATCAAAACAAACATTTCTTCGTGTTCTAACCCATAATATTCATATCTGTTACCGTCTGGTCGTATCACTGTTTTATCATTGCATCTCCAAATTACACTTAATTCACCATCAGAAGAAAACCGAATATAATTTCCTTGCGGTGTGAATATTTCAATAGATTCGTGAAGAAAACTAATCTTAAAAAATAATGAAATTTATTTTCAAATTTTTACTAAATTTAATCGTCTTTTGATCTAGTTACCGCCAGGAGAATATATTAAAAAATTGGTAACGTGTTATAATACCAAAAGCTTGAAATATCAAACCCCTAAATATTGTTAAAATACCAAACCGTGGAAAAAACTAATTACCAAATAAATAAAAACTATAAAAGTCGGAACAACATCACCTTCGTTAGAACAACATCCCCCGTCGTTGGAACAACAGCCGCCGTGTTTGGTTTTCACATTTGGTATTTCGAGGGATATTTGGGGTTATCCACGGTTTGGTATTTCAATCTTTTGGTATTATAAACAAATCTTTAAAAACTGTTAAATATAAATGAAAACAATACCTCAATCTTGTTTACATCAGAATCAGATTTTGAAGATCGAGGCTCGCTTATCCAACGAAATTTTTTTGAGTTAGACTTGTGTGAATGTTCATTTTTAGCAATTGATTTGTTTAAATATTCATATAAAAGGCAATTCTGTGTTTTGCATACACAAGGTTCAACAACAAGGATTTCTTTCTTTTGATTACCAAACTTTATTTCTTTACCTCTTGTAGTATTTTCATAATTCAAAAACAACTTTAAAAAAGGTAATGAATAAATTTTAAAATAAACCATATCAGAAGGTATGTTGTATTGTTGATTTAAAGAAAATTGTTTATTATGTCCCTTATTGGTACGGGAAGCTGTCAATTCATCGGCAAACTGGAAATAGGAAGAAGAATTACGACGAATAATTGGATGGCTAGTTGAAGTTGAACCCGCATCACAAATTGACGAAGAATCATAATTCTATAAGTTAAAATTTAGATCGGATCATTCTTGATATTTTTTCATTCTAAAATACACACCAATTCTCAAAAGGGAAGGGGCATAAAACCCGTGAAGTGCCAATTCTGGCGTTCAGAAATAAAAATCAAGCCAGGTTTCAGAAAAAAAAAATATCTAAAGAAAACCTTAAAATTTTGTCCATTATTCTTTGATTGATTTTTCAGACTATTCGATTGCTGGCGGTTCTCACTAGTTAACAACGAGCTGAGAGAATTATTTCGTCGTAGAATAGGAGGTCGGATTGTTGTAGGTACTAGTTGTTGAGGCTGCTTCTCTTTCATTAAACTTGATATTTCTCGACGAGAACTTTATAAATGAATTTTAAAAAATTCAAAAAGAAAAAACCTTTTAAATTGCTCGGGTTTTCCTGTTTTCTCAGATGTTTGTTCAGAAGTGAAATTGCTCGAAAAATTATTTGAAGCCATTTTTGAAAGAAAATTCAGAGGCGGTTTTTAATGTTGATTACTTCCAAGTTCATAAAAAGAAAAATGAATTAAAAAACATAATATTTTTAATATACATGTTGAAAATTAAAAACAAATAAAATAAAATTCAAAATAATTAAATTAACGAGATTTATTCAATTAAATAAATTAGAGAATAAATAGGAACATTCCATGGTGGTAAAGGGCAAGAGTTCTTAGTAATAAAACATAAAAAAAATATTTTCAAACGAGAACTGAGAGAAATCCATTTTAAAGGCATTGTTCATTGAGTAATTCATCCATCTGTTGGTAGTGTTCTAGTATGTCCAAATTTGCCACGAGAAAAACAAACAAATTTATCTTTAAAAAATAAAATTTAAAATATTGTGGCTCTTGTTTAGGAATATAACTGATTACGGAAATTATAAAAAATATTTTAATTTTGAAACTCAAAATTTTTTTGTACCAAAACTTTAGACCGCCTATATTTTTTAGGATACATATTTAATATTTGGTGAATTTTTCGGTAATTCTTCGGTTCGTCCCCCCCCCCCACTCCTTTTTCCTTCCTCAAAGTATTAAAAAATGGGCAGTCAGTTATATGTTATAGAGCTCGTGGAGCTGTGTCGAATGACATAAAAATCAAAAAAATCCAACATGATTTGACCAAGATACGAACCCCTGAAAATTGAACAACCATAGGGGCGTAAAACCATATGCACGTAAATTTATGCAAATGATAGCTCATTCGAAAGAGCTCGTCGTGTTGAGTCGAATGACACTAAAATCAACGTGATTGGACAGGATTTGACAGTTATGCCATAAGTCGCCGATTTTGTTAGGTCTAATTAATGCCATCGACGAGCTCTTTCAAATGAGCTGTCATTTGCATAAATTTACGTGCATATGGTTTTACGCCCCTATGGTTGTTCAATTTTCAGGGGTCCGTATCTTGGCCAAATCATGTTGGATTTTTTTGATTTTGGTGTCATTCGACACAGCTCAACAAGTTTTATAACATAAGACTGACTGACCATTTTTTAATACTTTGAGGAAGGAAAAAGGTGTGGGGGGACGAACCGAAGAACTACCAATTTTTCAAACGAAATACATTCCCCTTCAACCAAAATTTACCATGCTTTTTTTGCCCGCAAATTCCCTTCTCCGTACGAACGTGTTTAACCATAAGAGCGTTACCAACACAAAGCCAAATTTCGACACTGGAACCAGCAATAGAAGATTCTACCGGTATTAAGATTTTAACTGCTTTTGTTGAATTAAAACGACGAAGCTTTAAAAAAATATTTTAGAGAAAAGATTAAAACAGAAGATAAACCTTAAAGTCTGTTGCATTTATTTGTAAAAAAGCATCTTCAGAACAATTTGAAGTAGATTTATTGTGAATCTGCCGTTGCAAAATAAATTAGAAAATAAAAATTTGGTACTTATGAAGATGGAGGTGCCCTTTCTGCGGACTTTTTTTGCGGACTTTTCTTCCCTTCTTTTAAATGTTTTACTTGTAGCAACTAACTGTCAACGCCACTCCCCCATTATTCTTCTTACCTAAGATTGTACATAAAGGTCAGATTTTCTTCTTCCTCTCCTTCCTCTATTTGCCCTGTGGCAAATTCAAACAAGAGACATTGATGAAGAGAAGATTAATTTTATAGTCATACACTTATTTTTTGCCTTCGAAAACAATTTAAACAAAAAAAGAATTAAATAAAATTGATTTGGTGTATAACATTATGAATTTGTGTTTAAAAACATTACATTCTTACTTCTATTTTAAAATATTGAACAACTGAGAAAATAAATTGAACTTAGTATTGAACAACTCAATTAATTTTAATTTTCTCTTTATCACCAATATCTCTTATTTGAATATGCCAAGCTCAAACAGAGGAAAGAAGGAAATCTGACCATTTTGTACAATCTTAGGTAATAAAAATAATGGGGGGGGGGGTTTGAAATTACCCGCATTTCTGTTCCACAATAACATATTCTTTTTCTATGAAGTATTCCGAGATCAGTGATCCATTGTCGAAATTCATCATCGGGTAATTGAAAATTTAGTTAAAGTAAAATTTTTAATTGATTGTAACATTTTTTACGTTTATATATTCAAATTAATCGTGAACACATATTTTTCAAATTGGCATAAAAAATAATCCTTTGACAGTTAATTGCTACGAGCAAAACTTGCTGAAAGCAAAACAACCAAAACATTTAGAAAGAAAGGAAGAAAAGTCCGCAAAAAAAGTCCGCAGAAAGGGCACCTCCATCTTCATAAGTACCAAAAATTTTAATAAAAAATTCTTGGGAGAGACAAATATACCAATTTTTTAAAGTTTTGCAAGGATGTGCAAGGATTTTGCACAAGCGCCTCGCCGACGCCCATAGGTTTACGTGTTTTATTTCGTGTTATTCTCGAATAAATCTATAGATCCATTCCGACACCCACAATGCACCGCGCCTAAAAATCTAGAGCCCAATTCTCAGTTTTTCTCACTTAGAGCCTAAAATTCCGCTGGAGCCCATTTTCCAAAAAGGCCCAACTTTCCGAAAAATCCTGGAGCCCAATTTTCCGGCACCCCTAATGAAAGTTTATTTGGACTCATAGACTTTTCATTGAAGCATAAACTAGACCAGAGCCAATTATTTTTACAATCGATAATATTTGCTCATAAAAATCATATACCACTTGGTGTAAAGCTGAATAAGAGCCATCTTGACGTTCACTCATTTTATCCAAATTAGGAGAAAATTTTTCTTGACGCCATTTTTTGGAAGCAGATGAACGATAAGCTTCTCCAGAAGCAAGGTAACTTTAAACGAAAAATTTTAAAATAAAAAAATAAAAACAAACATTTCTTCGAGTTCTAACCCATAATATTCATATCTGTTACCGTCTGGTCGTATCACTGTTTTATCATTGCATCTCCAATGTACACTTAATTCACCATCAGAAGAAAAACGAATATAATTTTCTTGCGGTGTGAATATTTCAATAGATTCTTGAAGAAAACTAATCTTAAAAAATAATGAAATTTATTTTCAAATTTTTACTAAATTTAATCGTCTTTTGATCTAGTTAGCCGCCAGGAGAATATATAATTAAATTCATAAAAGGATGGGAAGCTATTAAAGTTCAATCTATTGTAAAACCCTTAAAAACTTAATGAAAAAAAAATGCCTCAATCATGTTTACAATCTTGTCTACAAGATTATATCTTGGCAATCGACATGTCCAACGAAATTTTTTTGATTTTGACTTGTCTGAATATTCATCTCCACAAATTGATTTATTCAAATATTCATATAATAGGCAAAACGGATCGTTACATCCACGAAGTTCAGTAACAACAAGTTTTTCCTTTCCATCAGTAAAAAAAAATTCTACGCCACGTTCAGTAAATTTGTGAAACATATAAACCTTCTAAAAAATAATAAAAAAAATTTAAAAAGCATAAATAAACCATTTCTAAAGGTAATTCAAATCGCTCATTTAATGAGGTATCCGTGTCATCAAATGTCGAACAGGTGTTAGAAGGAACCAATTTTAAAGGCTCATCAACGAATTGTGAACAGGAATCCTCGCTCTAAAATTCAAAAATATAAATTTTTTGAATAAAATTCCCTTAAAAACCTCCGAACTATCCAAAATTTCACTAAAACCATTAATTTTTGTATTTCCCTCCTTAGATGATTTTGCAATGGCATTGACTTCTCCTTCCAATTTTTTTATTTGTGCATGTATTAGCTTTAAATAAATGTAATAATTTAAGCAAACTTGGTTCTTATTTCCTCCCCCCCCAGTCCGCAATTTAGTAAAAGTACGAAATGGTCAGTCAATTTTTCCTTCCATAATTTAGAAAAATTGTAGTCACATTCATTCAGTCACCCTTCCTTCAATAATCCTACTTTTTTCATTGTAACTGTATTAAAATATGAAAAATAAACATCGATTTGTTTAGTCATTTACAAATAAGGGCAAAATGTGTGAGACAGGCATTCAAAAACAACAAATTGCCTGAATTGAAGGAAGAGTGATTGAACGAATGTGACCACAATCACATTTTTCTAAATTATGGAAGGAAAAATTGACTGACCATTTCGTACTTTTACTAAATTGCGGACCGGGGGGGGGGGGGAATAAGTACCAACAAAATCTAATTAACCTCTAGTTCCAACTCTTTTACTCTATCAGAAGTCTTTCCTGCCTTTGCTTTATATTCATCAGATTGAAGACGACAGCGAATTTTTGCGATTTTTGCCTTCTCTAAAAGGACTTCCTTCCAATTCACATTCAATTCGTTTTGTTGCCGTTCAAAATTCTTTGAAAAAATTTAAAAAAAAATAAAATAATTTTTTACATCGGACAAATTTATTAATGGTATAGCCAAATTTTGAATAATTTCTTCGCTTAACACTTCACTTAATTCATCAACATACGAGACGAGTTTATCCAAATCTTTTCGAAATTCTTCCGCAATTGGAGAAATAGGATAATTTCCACGATTATGTAGGTAATGGGAGCTTTTTAAAAATAAATTTTTAAAAAATCGAAAAGAAATGGTACCATTTCAAATGTTCAGGTTTTTGTATTTTCCCAATCAGATGTTGAGAAGTGCTTTGAAGCAAATGAACACTGTTCAGAGACTAAATAAGAGGGAAGGTTATTACTTCAAAAGAGAAATTTTAATAAAAAATACTCCAAAAACTGATGAAGTTGTTGAAGAATTAGAAGCTGGTAAACAATTCTCCTTTTCTAAAAATTCAGGAAAACCAAACGAATCTTCTTCTGTTCCGTTCATATTTTAGAATTTATTAGTAAAAATTTCAACTAAAAATAAAAAAATTTATGTAGATTAGAAGAAATTTCTTAATATAGCGAATTTGGATTTTGAGACTTGGGAAAATACAGTAAGATTAAAAGTGATTATGTAGCTCGCGACAAAATGTCTATTGCATATTATACTTAACAAAATGTACAGTTCATCAGTGGATGGAGAATTAAATAAACTACAATATTCCAAATATCAGAATTTTTGACAAATTGATAAAATTAAAAAAAAAGTTTGATACAATGATAAAAACAAAATTTTTAAATAAAGGCATTTTTGGAACCTTATCTATCCGCGAGTTTTTATTGATAAGTCGAGAATTTTGAGTTTTCATTATCTTTTAGTGTATTTCCCTGTCCAGTGGTATAGGAATTTAATAAGTTAACATTTTGATCTGTTAAGGGGGGGGGGGTAAAAGGCTCTTAAAGAGAGACTTTGTTTTCATAAACCTAAATCAAAGGGAAATTAATCCAAGTTTTACAAATAATTTTAAAAAAATCAAAAATTATTATAGATTAAAGAGAGACTCGTGTTTTCTAAAATTTAGAAATTTTATAAATTAAAAAATGAAATAGATAAATAATTCAATAGGAGGCACTTATACATAATTTCTTTATACATATTTGGCATTCAAAGTGGGCGGGGCGAAGTTTTAAATTTTTTCCAAACTTCCCTTTATCAATAGACAGATAAATTATAATTAAAATATGGGAAAATTTGAGGGAGAATATTTTGGTTTAAAATATGGAGTATGGCAATTTTCGGTTGATCCATCTTCAAAAGAAATGAGGCAAAATTTCTTTCTCCTCAATTCTTCATGTGGTGCCCTCATTAACATTATCAAAGGCAAATAAAATAATTTTAGGGAATTTTCCCTTGCTCCTCAAAAATTATTTCCCCTCAATTTATGAAGAATATTCAAAAGAAAATTTTTTCTGTCGTATTTTGATGTAAATTCAAAAAATTCCAAAGGAAAATCGGAAATTTTTTTTAAATCTAGGGGGAGATATGTATTACCTTCTACCTTAATAATTAATCAAAGTTAAACGAAAAAATTGAAAAATAAATTTACTATAAATTTACTACCTTTCCTAGATTTATTAACCGCCCTCAGCGGTAGGCTAAAAATGCCTTCCCAGTGTGATTGATCTTTTAATTATGTTCCGATTTATTCAGTTTGATAACGAATATCCACAGAAAAATGAAAAATAAATAAATTCGAATATATTAGAGTTAAAAATCCAAATTTTATTTTGTATTCCATTGTTTCCTCAATTCGTTAAAATATAACTGTCCAGATCTATCTAATGGCTGTATTTTCAAAATTCTTTTTTCTTTAATTCGTCTCACAAAACATATATAAATTAACAATGTTATGGCTGAATGTAGAAGTGGAAACTAGAAAAATTTATTAGCTTATTTATTATTTTATTTTCTTGTATCCATGGAGATAAGTTCAGATTATACTTAAAGGAAAATTTCAAAAAATGAAGCTTAAACTACAATTGCAAAAAGAATTCTAAAACTTAATTTTGTAGCGGACACAAAATAATAATGGATTTAGTTCACAACAATAAAGGAAAATTTCACGATACCCTTTACGATACCCTCGAGTTAACCAACCTTCAGCTTCGGGTAATTATCGAGGTCTGCGTAGATTTTTTTGTGATAAGGGTTAATCCTTAGGATTGGGGTTCTATTACTGAGTGAGAGGAACCTGGTAGATTATCCAAATACCCCTCCCTCGATTTTATAATACCACCCCTGGAGCTCGATTGAAAGTAAAACTTTCGAATATTGAATCCTTTCCAATTCTATTCTATTTCTAAACCTTTACAAAAATTTTCTAAAATCTACCGTCATAAAAACATAGTAGATGCTAGTATACTGCTCTACATACATTTCATTACGGTGTATTCTTAATATAGCAGCTCCAGTCATATAAATTCCATTAAAGATAGTGTATGCCGCATCTAATGGCAAAATCAGCCTCATTGAGAAAATATTTTCTCTCAACTGGTAATTAGCACTTAATGAGTATGTTGAGGGAATATCTGGATTTTCACATCTACTTCTAGAAAATAAAGTTTAAAATAGATAGGTTTAACTTGACTCCCGTTTATGACACAAGGAGATAGCATCATTCAAAGCAGGGATGTCAAAAGTTGAGAAAAACTAAGGTCAAGTTTCAAAATTTTATTCGGATTAGGTTTCGTTTCGAGCCTCCCTATTAATTACCCCCTCCAGCAATAAATTAAAAAAATAATCCATCTTAAAAATAGGTAGTTATAATTATCGTTTCTAAAATCAACTCGAATAATTACACCCTATCTATTAATTATCCCTCTATCGAAAGGTCGAAAAAAATCACCAAGGGTAATTATAAGAGAGTTACGGTATATGATCTCGAGGTATAAATGTTTGGAGCAAGAATAACAAGGATATGTCCCAATGGTATGATAATGGTATTGAACTAATTGGATAACCAAACTCAACAGTCAAGATCGACTTACTTCCTTCTAATCCTTTTATTAGCTCGATAAACCAAAAAATCACAAAAAGTAATAACAACACATATAAATAGGGTAGCATAAAAAGAATAAAGAATAATTGTTGCATTGTATTTGGAAGTCAATGCTACAATACCCAAGGGTTGACCAAAAGCGTCAGTATCAGCTAGGGCTGAACAAATAATATAAATTGTATAACTAATTGATAAAATCCACTGAAAATTAATTGAAGATTTTTTTAAAGTCTAAGTGGTAAAATAAAGTTGGACCTTACTTTAAGATACACTCTTTGATATAAAAAATATTAGCTTGTAATGAAGCTTATTTTAAATAAAGGTATCAGTTAAGCAGCCCCTTCGCTTATTTGTTAGTGGTTTACTATAATTCAAATGATCTTTCTTAGAATGAGGTGTATCTATAATAAAGTAGTAGAGCTGTCCAAGACTCCTGGTCTGAAGTCTTGACTCAAGACACTTCTTGGGGTATTTCGGTCTTAGTTTTGGGGTGTAGTTTTGGTCTTGATCTTGAGTAATGGAAAATTTTCAGATGAATTTTTTCTGCCTATCTAGAACAAAAGGTATCTAATGGGCCGTCGTATAATGAGTTCCCTTATGGGGTAGTATTAAATAGAGGTATGATTAAACAGCTAACTTAAACTAAGGGGTATCTACTGGGCTGTCTTATAGAGGATATTGGAACTAAGAACAAAAATAGTACCACAAAAATAATTCCTACAGCAGTAAATTTTATTCCTTCCGTTTCATAATTCCTAACAAAAATAGTTGCACGAACACGCTCCAACATAATCAAAAAATGAATGCAAGTATTTGCGATTAAATAAAAATAATTTGGAGCAATTAGAACGACGGCAAGCCAAACAGGCGTTAATAAATTGCAATTATCAGAATATGTATAAACTAATATCTTAAAATTTTGTTTATTAATGTCGAAAGTTAAGTACTTATATCAGCCGAGATACTCAACTAGGTGTATAAACCGTTGGGAATCTCGACAGCCAGGATTGAATTAAAATTTTAATCACAGATAAGTTCTGGATGAGGATTCCCCAGTAGCTGCAGCCAAGATTTACATATGTTTTAATCTAAAGATGAGGATTCCCTAGTAGCTGCCAATTAAGGATAGAACTGAGACAAGGACTCGGTCTAAAAGCAAGTAGTTGAAATCGAGATTCAATTAATAAAACCTTGATTATTTCGATTATTTCGAAAATTGAGAACTAGGTTTTCGCTAGGGCAAATAATTCATTTTCTACCATAAAGTAAGAGAGAGTTGTAGGATCTTCCTGGAATCCTGCGATCTCCCATGAGTTATTGTGCCTCGCTCACTAATACATAATTTATGCTCTACCGTCTGAGTTAACGAAGCACTTAATTACTATAATCCGTTCTATTCTCAACGACATTTTTAATTAATTTTTAATTGTTTCCTCCAATATTTTTCCCTTACTAATCAACTCCAAAAATATACTTTACAAAAATTTTGAATAATTCACCTTGTAGCGAATTATATTAGCTGCCCAGAACGACGCATTAATTAAATAAAATATAATAGCATTAAATACTAACAGCTTTAAAATATAATTAAAAATAATCAAATTTATTAAATTAAATTACCGTCAAATTTGAATGTAAAGGTATTTTAGCTTTGCTAAATTGGCGAAAAAGCACTGCAGAAGAGGTGAACAAAATAAATAAAATAATTAATTGAAACCAGGTAATTAATCCAAAAAGGGGATTCAACAAAAGATTTTCGACAGATAAACAGTTTAAATTTGTGATATTTGAAGATGACATTTTAAATTAATTTTTTAATCGAGAAAAAATATTTTTAAAGCGCTCCAGAGAAGTTGAATCGTTGAAAAAATTATGCAATCCAGCGATGAGTTAGTCAAATTTTATGAAATTTAGCTAAAATATATTAGATTAAGTCGGATGAATAATGTAATAAAATTTTTTAAGATTACTCAATCGAATTCAAAAAATTCAAAATTATCAAACAAGCGTGTATTTCTTGCTGAGAGCAGGCCTAAGGTATCACAAAGCAATAACTTCTTCCAAAATTGTCAAATCCAGGATGCTCTGGTATGATTCGATTCAGCTCGCCGAGGCGCATCAAAAGATACCAGGGTGTCCCGGATTCTGTAATTTTGAACGAATTTATAGCTCTGCGGCAACTTAGACTTGCAATACCCCTTCTTGATGTTTATTTCGTATTTCTAAAATTAGGAAAATTTTACAAAAATTCCTACAAACATAGAGGCATATGTTTATCTATAAAAACTGCATAGCCTAATTAAAAATTATAACTGAAAATTATTTTAAATTATATTTATTTTAAGATGCTATACATAATTAAGAAATATCTCAATTTAAATATTCCAATTATAAACCATAAAATTAAAAAAAAATGAAGAGGCGTAATTTAACATTTTAGGAAACAAAGGAAACAATTGTTAAAGGAAACTGCTTATTATTAGTGAACGGGATCTTAAAAATTTTTTTTTCTATTTTTTTATTGAACAAGATTTTAAGCATTTTTAGGAACCCTAATTAAAATTTTATAAAATAGGCTTGTTGGAATTAAAAAAAATTACATCTGTTTATATATTTTTATTGACTAATTTAATTAATTCTAGAAGGAGCCTGCATCCCCAAAAATCTGGAATTTATTTTTCATGCCAGCAGGTTCCAAGTATCTAAATATCTGTCTAAAATAAATTAAATTTTTCAATACTCTTATAAATTAGATAATTTTTTAGGGTACTAAAAATTTTGCCGCTGATCTAGTTTACGCATCCAACGAACTTTTATGCGTCCAATCAACAAAAAATTAGATTTTTAATGGTATTGCAAAGATGGAGTATGGTTCCAAAACATTACTTCATGTTCGGGACCTACGCCCACTGGGTCTTGGACCATTCCTTACTCTATCCCTCAAAATTTCTGAAAGTTAAAATCGTTTTTCTGAAATTTTTAAAAATTGACTATGACTTCAAGTTGGTAGGATAATAAGAGGGAGTCTGTTTAGATGATATCCTCTATTTAAATATAATATTTTTTCACCCCAAGTTGGTGTTTAAATGAAATTCGATTGTTCAAAAATACACACCTCTATATAATTAGAATAAAAGATAAGATAATTATTAATAATAAATTATATAAATTAATTAAGTATAAGGTATTTTAAAGATTTTTTCATCTAGTATATATTTAAAATTTATGGCATGTTTTATTAAAATATTTTTTCACTCAAATATTTATTAGCTCAAATAAAAAAATGGCATGTCTTAGGGTAGAAACGGGCAAAATTATTTTTCTATAATTCTTAGCATGGTGTTTCAAGACAATAAAAAATCTACAACCTTAAGAGAATATTAAAGTAAAATAATTTGGGCTTTCAAATAAGCTCAAAATGAAAATTTTAAACAAACCATAAGGGGTCGAAAAAATTTTTTGAAGTTGAAAAACCGTGTTTTATGTTGATTTTCAGGGTATCGAGATCTCGACACTGGAATGAGATAAGGGCCTAATTTTTATTTTCTATAATATCGATAGAGATGTTAACTGTATTTTTTGTAGAATTTTACAACAAGTAGAAATTAAATTTTTACAGGGGTGCTTATACTTTTGTGACAGAGTGTAGACTAAAAAATAAAATTTTTGTAACAAAATTAATTTTTAAAATTGTGGAAATTAATGACTAGAGTGTCTATTAAATATTTAAATTAATAAACAAATTGCCTAGCTTTTGAAGTAAAAAATATTTTTTAAATGCTTATTTAACTAGAAAATTTTAATAAGAATTGAATACAATTAAAGCGGAGGTTGGCTGACACTGCCAAATGACTGGCTTTTCTCTATGAGCTTTCCCATGAATTAAATTAAGTGTTACGACAATTTATTATTCTTAAAATTTATTAGCTGACGAAATAAGAGGTAAATGGCAAAAAAGTAAATAGAAAAAATTCTTGTTAATTAAATAACAATGGAAGAAATTGTAATAATTTCTGCGAAATAATGCAAATGAATACGAAAGGTGTCGATCTAGCTTAGCGTTTCTAATTAAATTTTATTCTGGCAGGAATATATCTAATCAGCAATAGGAAGGAAAGCTATAAATAATGTAAAAATGGTATAAAGATTAATAATGATAACGGCAGTAGCCGATTTTTGATTAAAACGAGGTTAACCCGAAAACAGCTGGGGCGTAGTTTAATATCTGCCAATTCTGGCGGCAGCACGATATTTCTTTTATTTATTCTATTTTTTTAATAAATTTTTTTTAATTAATATATAATTGGTTTGCCATCTGGCATAATTTTTTCATGCAAACCTTTGACAAAAGCTGGCGAAGGCAAAAAACGAATATTAAAATAACTCTTGAAATCTCTAAAAATCTTAATCTTATAAAATCAACAAACATCCAGCGGCCTAATTATAGCAAAAAATTCAAAATTTTTGAATTTTCACATGTCAAAAGTCAAGATACTAAAAAATTTTATGCAAAAAATCGTACTAAATTCAAGAAATTATACATATTAGATTCAAAATTATTTTGAATTCCATTGTTTTTTAAGTTCTTTGAAATATAACGGTCCTGTCTGATCCAGCGGACTTATTTTTAAAATTTTTCTGCGTTGAATTCTTTTTAGAAAACAAATGTAGATGAACAGAGTTATGAATGAATGGAGTAGTGGTAACTAAAAAATTAAATTACTTTAAAAAATTGTAGTAAACCCTCGCCTCACTATAAGAAACACCCTTGGGGTTGGGAAAAAGTATCTTTCAATGAGAAGTCCATTAGATAGGGTAGTTAGGTAGCTCTTAGGTAGCTTTCTAAGCTCTCTGAGAGAGCTAGAGAGTAGCTAGAGTAGCTCTCTCTCTCTTAGTAGCTCTCTAGTTATGTAGCTACAAGGTAACTCTCACACCTAATCTGGATGGGATTGGTCATGAAAAATTCTTTCAGGATTTTTCGAGCTAGTTTCGAAACTCATATTGAAAAAAAGGGTTTCGAGTTTCAGGTAATTCGTCCCTTTCCTCCTTCCTATTTCCAAACAAAATTTGAAAAACGTATTTGTGTTGGAAGTATCTTTCAGTGCGCAGACTGTATTTAAAAATAAAACCCTCACCGTAGTTGCCAAACAGTAAAAACTAATGTAATTTACATCACCTATCGTATCTCTATAAATTCTAAGCACAGCAACACTAATTAAATAAAGTCCAAAAAATAGAGCATAAGAAGCATCGAGCGGCAAAATAAAACGCATCGAAAGTAAATTTTCGTTCAGCTGATAATTAGCACTAAGAGAGTACGTGAAGCTTGTTTTGTTTCTTTAAAAATAAATTTTAAAGTGATTAATAATTTAACGTAGTAACTTGGGTTTGGCATTCATGGTTCGGAGCTCCTTTCAAATGGGAGTCTATCTGGGCTACGTATCTCAGAGGAAGGCCTCTAGGCATCTGTGAGCTACATTCACCGGGGTTACTAAGCTCTAAGGAAGTGCGACGAAGTCTTTGATGAATTTCTGTCAACGGGGACAGGGATCGAACCCAAAAAGCAAACTACTCTCTCGAGAATATAGTTCACTTCTATTTCACCCCGATCATAGATGCCATATAAGGGTGAGGGAGCAGCAGGTAATGAGGATAACATAAGTCAATTGTATAACCTCTTCTTGAAAGTCTTGTTGGTTTTATAGATAACAAAATCACAAATCGTAGTGATTGTAGCAATGAAAAGAATCAAATAATAAGTATAAAGAAGAATCGTTGCATTGTATTTCGATGTTAAATAAACAACACCCATTGGTTGACCAAAGGTATCAGTATCAGCTAGTGCAGATAAGATGACATAAATTGTGTAAACAATCGACAATGACCACTAATAAATTAAAAAAAATAATTTTAATTTACAGAAATTTTAGAAGTTTAATTTTGAAGTTTTAATTTTATAGGGATCAGGCCAAATCAAGTACTCAGAGAAAGAAGCAAGTAAAAAAGAAAAAGCTGTGTAATTACTCTTTGAATCTGTCTTGAAAATCGGTTGATCGTTCGAGTAGATTTTAATGTTCCTCAGCCATGATCCTCGAGTAGTGCTGGGGAACACAGCAAATTCTTCCTCAGAATATTACTTTGAATTAAAAAATAAACCCCCTTCATAAATTATTTTGAACATCAATTAATGTAAGCAGGAAAACCACGATATTGAAACACTTAGAAAATGGCATAGAAACTCAGCTTGGCATTCGTTACTTTTTGGCGAGACTAATGACCGGAGATTTTACGATAAAAAAGACTTACAACAACTATAGTTCCACGAATCGCACATATCTTCCCTTTAGTTTCATATTGCCAAATACAAACTGTTGCTCTAACACGTTCCAACATTATAAGAAAATGAACACCAGTATTTGCAATTAAATAAAAATAATTTGGAGAAACAGAAAATACTACAAGCCAAATTGGTGTTAATAATTCACAATTATCTTTGTAAGTAAATCCGAGATACTTAAAATTGGGAATAAATATTTGTTAATAAAATATTAAAGTATTATGAAAGGATTTTTTATTGAAAGGTGAGGGAAGGCTAGACTATGATAGTCAAGTCCATGAAATTACGTTTTTCTGATGATTTAGCAAGTTCGACACAACTTGACGCGTGAATCGAACGATACTAGGGCTTCGAGGATTCTAGATTTTACACGGAGTGATAGATTATTGAAAGAAAGGGCTCACGATTTATCGGGATGTATCTCTTAAAGGTATACTTATGAGGTTGAAAAATTGTATTATCAAGGTTTAAAAGTTCCAAAGTATTATTGAGGTTTCTATGTTTCAGAGTATTATTGAGATTTCCAAGTTCCAGAGTAATATTGAGGTTTCTAAGAGAGTTTGTTAGTCAGTTTGTTAGTCACCATCCCTGTGAGCAGGCAAATTAAAAATTTCACTATCGACACATTTCACTTCACTATCGAGTACTTCAAGCTATATAACCCTTGTTTAGGATCAAGCGATATCCCCCTCTTGAGATTTTCAGCGTTTCCTATTTTTCCTTATCTCCTCTCTCCAAATGGTCTCCTCCCTCTCTCCTAATATTTTTACAAAAAATTTTGAAAAATTATTTCACCTTATAACGTAAAAGAATTAAAAGGGTTGGAATTGAATAGATAAGATAATAAACGACAGCATTAGCTATTAATATCTATAAATTAAATGTAAATTTAACTTAATTAAAAATTAAAATTTACAATTAAATTGCAATGCAAGGATATTTTGGATTTTGAATATTCTCGAAATAAAATAAAGATTAATAAAAGAATGAATAAAATAATAAAAATATTAAACCAGCAGGCAACACTATAAACTGTATCTTTTATCATTTGTTCTACCAATAAACAATTTAAGTTTATATTTGACATCTAAAATAAATTAATTAATAAATTAATTAAAGAAGAATATTATTAAATTAGGCATTTTACCAAGTAAAATAAATTGAGGAGAGCGAGCTCTTAAAAAGGGCGCCCGAGAGCGTCAAGACTAGGGTGGTCAGGTTCTCCAAATTCTTTTGTTAAACGAAACCGAATTGAATAAATCGTAAAATATGATACCATTTAGGTGCCCAACGTGAAAAATTGCGATATTCAGTTCGGTGAAGAAATTTTTGAGAATTTTGGAAGCCCAAGAAGCCAATTTACTTGGATCAGTTAGGGAATATCAAGGGATTTGTTTATCGGGTGGTGTATCCAGAATATATTGTCTAGAGTAGCTCTATAAAAATATGCTGGCAAATAACTGGATATGGGTTAAGCCAGAAAACTTCGAGATGTACTCTCTCCTTAAAAAATAAAGAAGATTCTTGGCCACAAAAATATTTTCGAGTTAATGAGATTATTTAGTTTTACATTAATTACAAATGACTCAATTATAATATACTGTAAAATATTTTTGAGAAAATTTTATGAAAATATTTATTGTAAAATTTAAAAGTGTACGAAAAACAGAATTTCTAGAGTATAAACAAAATATAAAATTTCCACGAACACAAATTAAATTAAAATTTTTAATTAAATTATTAAATATTTATATGTATCTTTCTGAGAAAATTTTCATTATTTACGAGTGAATTTTAAATGAAAAAAAATTTTTTTTTAATTTAAATAAATTATGAAAATGTCTAAGAAAGTACAAAAAAGAATGTTTTTGTTTTTAATTTTTGATTTTCTAATGTTTTTTAACAATTTTTTCTTACAAAAAACATTTTTAAAAATATTATTCTTGTTCTTTTATTTTCATTTTTATTAAAAACTTAGTCATGAAAATAAGAAAAAAATAAACATAACAAATATTTTTTGTATCTTCCCAGACAATTAATTTAATTTTTTTTATTTTTTTGTCTAAATTTTTGCCTCATTCAGAAAGGCTACGTATTTTTAATTAGGAATTTTGAGGTTAGCTAGCGGAAAGGGAGCCCTGTTCTAACAAAGGAAATCCTTTTGGTCTACAGTGTAAGACCAATATTTGAAAGCTTCTATCTATGTTTGTCGGTTCGCAAATGGACCGAAGAACCGAGGAGTTTTCTTTCGGTTCGGTTTCGGATATCCAAAAATTTTACAACCTACTTATTGTAGCTCTCAATAGGTTTTTAATTCAAAAAATTTTTTCTACTTCAAAAAATTTTTTTCTACCAGGCTACTATTTTCAACGAAATTAAGTTTTTAAGGTTGCCTTAATTATAGAAAAATATTCAGTTAAAAAATATTTTATTTAAAAATATTATTTAATATTTAATTATAAATAATAAAATTATAACTTATTGTTAGTATGTATAATAATATTATAAATCTAAAATTATACCTAATTTTTTTGCAAATATATATTTTAGAGGAACTTTCAGCAAAAAAAATAATATTGCAAAATAATGTAATTTTAGATTAAGCAAATTAAATATAACACAAAATAAGAATGTTTTATTTTCTCAATTTTTTTCAAATTGTTACTTGAGAAGCTTTTGTTACTTGAGAATGTTCTATTTTAGAATCCTAAAGTTCTAAAAAAAATCTTAAAAAATATATATTTTCGCTTCTTTACGTAATAGGTCTTTATACATTATCCTTCCGATAATTTTTTCTGGAATTTTTTCGACCTGGTTTTCGCTAACTTTTTGTTGATACTTGCGGAATTTTGGTGTGTTTTCGGATTTCTTTTATTCCAGCTATTTCGGTCAAATATCAATATAACGAACTTGAGGGACTGAGGTAAATGCTCTTAATGTGGGAGAGATGATAAATCGTGTGAATTAATATTATGTTTGTGCTCGGAGCTGTTTCGAAATTTCAATTTCGATTTAAAAAATTTTGAAAATTATTTTCGATTTGGATATTTTTGAACCAAGACCCAATGATGGGGATTTTATTCTCTCATACATATTCATCCTGCAACTACGGATACAACAATTTTAAGGAGAAATCTTAGTCATAGTCTAGTAAAAAGTTCTTATCATCGAGAATTACGTTAATTAAAGGGTTGCTATCTCAACCTACGCCCTTAGAAATTTTTTTTAAATTTTATTATAAATTAATACAAAGGTTATTAAATAAAATAAAAAAATAATATTAATTAATTATCAAGTTCATTTGCGTAGTTAAAAATTTTCTTATTGTTTTTCACAATTAATACAAAAAATATTAAAAAAATATTTTTCGTAAATAAAACACATGTTGTCAAGGTTTTTTTATGTCGAGCGGAATAAATTAATTTTGAATAAAAAATTATTTGAAATAAAAATTAGGGGTATTTTAGAGACTTTAAAATTAATTTTAAAAAATTATAAGGACATATTAAATTATTTAAATTTAAAAAATAAAATTATTGGGTATATAAAAATAATTTAAAAATTAAAAGAAAAAAGGAACTAGCATTTATTACATAAAAATTTAAAAGCACAAATTATTTTAAAAATTATATGTTTATTTAAAAATCATTTTAATTATAAAGTCGCAACAAAGGAGTCACATGCGAATTAGATAAGGGTTGGATTTTTAAAATTTTTAAACGTAACATCCCTGACCTCACTTTAATTTAAAATCCTGTCTGATAATATATTCTAATAGTTTCTTAAATTGAGAGTTGTCGCTCAAGGAAAGCCGTAGATTAGGAACCAAACGATCCGAACTGAAGACTCAATGGTTTTTCGGTTTGATCAGACCATCCGAAAATCTTCCATGAACCGATATGTCTAAAATGTGTTGCGTTTTTTTGAGAGATCTTGTATTTCGTTTTATCTCGTTCTCGTATTTTGTGGCACTTGCGCCACTCCAGATGCCTAATAAGCCCTTAACTCAGCGGCCAACTAAAATAGAAAACCGTCTTTTCTGGTCTATTCAATATGGTTCCATCTTATAGCGAGGTTACCGACTTTAATTTAATTAGAAGTTCATGACTAGAATGATTATACGTGCTTCAATTTAAATAAAAATTATTTTTAACAAAATTTAAATTCTTGGGGGTATCCATTTAGGTTTGTAAGGCTTCTTCTCAGAACTTTCTTCAACTTTGTTTTTAAGTTTTAAATTTTCATTTTCTTTTTTATTCTTAGTATCTTCATTTTCTTTCAATATTTTGTTTCTACTTTTATTTAATTCAGAAAGAGTTAAATAAGTGCCTACGCCAGAACCCACAGCTGCGCAGGCTGAAATCATCAAACCGGCAGCTGCACAAGCTGTTTTTAAACGATTCATTCGTTTATCTCTAACAAGTAGATTATTTCCTGTTTATTAAAATTAAAAATAATAATTTGATAAAATTTTTCAGACTTAAGACACAACCAAAACTAAATAGATACTAATCTTGTCCTCCGAAAAATACTCCTCCGACCTTTTTGGCTAGAACTCAGACCCCGAAAATCTCAAACCCGACGCAGACTCCTTAGCCACTTCAGGTTCAACCTCTACTAAATACATAGTAGGTTTACAAAAATTAATAAAAAACTTTGGTTGGCCGCCGCATGGTGGTTGTTGGGGACAGTGGTCATAAGGTGGTCATAAATCTCTCTTTAAGAAACCCTCATAGTCAATTTTTATCTCCAAGGTTATCGTTTACAACGAAGAATTTATTTTTTGTTTTAAGACTCTCGGGCATGAACAAGCTATACTAATTTTGTCCTCAGAAAAATCCTCCTCCGACCTTTTTGATATATCAAATAAATAATTAAATAAAAATCTTAAAAACTCAAAAAATTTTTATAAAAATTACCCATAATTTTAGCATCTATTAAAATTAATTTAAATAAAAAATTAAATAAAATTAAATTTAAAATAAATTTTTTTGAATAATTTTGAAGCATTATTAATCAAATAACGAGAAAATTAAATTTTAATAATCCATGGAAAATTTTCAGAATTTAAATATAAATATTTTTCCGATTTAATAAGCCTGACGTAATTAAAATCGAATAATTATTATTTAATTATTACATCAGAATTATTAATTTATTTATTAAATCAGAATTATGCAATTAATTAAGGAAAGCATTTTAATAATTGGTGATGACTACAAAATTTGTTTTAGAATATTAAATTAGTAAAATTAATTAAAATAAAATTTGGAAAAATTTCAAAAATTTTTAAGAAATACAAGAGATCCTTGCTAATATAACGATAAATTTAAAATATGACGGAACACACCAGGAGTGTGTCTTGAAAGTGTATTCTTCAGGACAATGCATCTTCGTTAATTTGACAATAAATTACTCCGTTTACCAATTATAGAGGTACAGAACATGATTGATTCTTGAAACTGTGTCTTGTTTCCTTTCGTCATTCGACAGAATTGCGCCATTTTTGGTCGGAATTCTGGCGCCCTTGCTAAAAGCGTTGGTCACTTCTGATATATGTAAATTACTCCTATATAGAAATAAAGGAAAATTTGGATAATGACATCTAAACTGCAAAAAATTCCCGTCTACAACACCTAAAAGGGCAGACTTAAGGTCAGGCCGTTTATGAAGCCTTTAGAAACCGGAGACGTGGAGCACTTCGATTTTTTAAACGAGACATCACATCCATTATCTTAGTTTTTTCCAAGCAATTAACAATAATCTCGTTATTTCAATATTTCAATTTTATTTTTAAAATTATAATTACTAATATTCGTTTTTATTAAAAATTATTTATTTGTAATAATTTCACTAATATTATATTTAATAAACAAAAACAAATTTATCAAAACAAAAACAACCATAAAAATATTTTCAAAAATCATAAGAACTTTAAGAAATTTATTTTAAAAATAGGAAAGGTAAATTAATTTATTAAACAAAAATAAAATTATTAGTAAACAAACAATTATTGTTATTAATTAAAAGTAAATTTAAAAGTTTATTAAATAAAAATTAAACTAAAAATAGCAAATACATAATTATTTATTAAAATAATAATTATGGGGAAATATTTCTATATAAAGTCTTAATTTTATTAATAATTAATAGTTCTTTCAATTACTCAAAAATTTTTTTATAAATATACCTGCCAAAGTGTAAATATACCTGCCAAAATATACCTGCCACTAATTACTCCAAGCATGCAGATGAATCTCGATATACAGAAACGAAATAGCCGAGAGAGTTAGGCACATTGAGTGATTTGAAATTGAGAGTCGTTTAAGGAGAACCCTACCTTTCGGTTTGTTGCTTCGAGAGCTATGTCAATTCAAGGGATCGTTATATCGAGTTAGCTGGATACGTTTAAAGTCAAAATTAGAAGATACAATTTTTATCCTCTAGTAGAAACTAAAGTTTTAAATAGTTGGGGATCTTCGGAAATCTTTACACGATATCCGAACCGCAAATTCGGAGATCCGTTCTTTTTCTTGTCGGATTTGCTGATCCGACAACCTTAGTAGAACCAGTTTTTTTATGAGAACTTTGTCAATAAAATAGGTTAATGCCTTAATAACTCCATTACTATAATTAAAGATAATATAAAATTAACAGCCATATTTGAATCGTAAAAAATATTTTTAAACATTTTCAAATTAAAAAATGGAATCCTTAAAAATTATTTTTCTACTCGCTTTTGTTTTAATGATTGGAGGACTTGTTTTTGCACAACTGGAAACTCAACTTGAAGGAGGAAGCGGAGAACGAAGTTTAAATTTTTATTAAAAATTTAAAATAATTTTTAGTTAAACGCTTCGGATATTGGAGTGGAGGCGGTGGAGGTCGCGGAGGAGGACATGGAATACATGGCGGAGGAGGAGGAGGTCATCATGGATGGCATTAAATATGCGGAACAATTTAAATACCTATATAAAAATGTTTTATAAACAAATATTAATACTACCTGAAATTTAAATTTTATTAGATTAATAAAAATTTCTATAAAAATTTTATAATTTTATCAGTAGCTTATTTAAGAAATTAATAAAAAATTAATGAAAAAATATTAATATAATATAAAATTATGTCATCAAATAATGGACCTCCCTTTAAGATACACCCAATTTAATATATTTTTTGAAATTTTATTGGACACTTGACAGGTGCCTAGGAAAAAGTTACCCTCCTTTTAAGTATTCAATGTTAGCCTCTATGTATTTAGGATACAGCTCGTTATGAGATAAAATTTTAGTGTACGGTGTAGCTTATAGTGAGGCCGGCTAATTCTAAACACATTTTATTCATATTCACTAATAGATAAAATCTCAACGTCGCCCAAACCATCCCCATCCCATTCCGCCAAGTGGAAAACCGCCAAAGACCGGGCCACCGAAAAAGTGGTGATGTCGGCGAGCTAAAACATTAAATAAAATTTATAAAAAATTAAATAATGCCTCTATCATTTTGAGGTTCTTCCACCGCATTTGCATTAAAAATAAGAATAATATTGAGAATAAAAAATAAAATTAAAATTAAAAATAATTTCAAGACCATTTTCAATTAATTTTTAAGAATATTTTTTGTATAAATAAAATATTTTAAAATGAAGTAGACTATTTTTTTGGAAAAATGATCAAATAAAAATAACAAATATTGAAGTCATATTTATCAGATCATAAGAAACTTTAAAACAAAAATTTTATAAATAAATAAATTTCTAAATATTTATAAAAGTTGAGTGTTCAAAATTAGTAAACAATTCTTATAAGATCTTTAAATTTATTTTTTTTCGAGAATAAACAGACTGAGACAAGGAATAAAATCTAGATAAAAAGACAAGTCTTGGAGGGGGATACAAGGATAAGTCTTGGATTTTTAAACAATGGAACAAGATATACTCTACATTGAAATATATAAGTAATTCGTTAGTTTAGAGTTAGTTTGGAGAGTAGAGAGATATGTTGAATTGAATATTCGCTGTAATAATTTTGAATACCTCAAAGTTGAACTTCTAACGACCTTTATTGTTTATAAAAAAAATAATTTTCAAATTCAAATTTTCAGCACTAAGTCCCTTAATAATACATTTGAGGCTTTGATAATTAGTTTGGAGAGTGAGAGGATTGTCGAATCTAATGTTCGTTGTTATAATTTTTAATAATTCGATGTTGAACTTCTACCGACCTTTATTCGTCTAAATCAGAATAATTTTCAAATCCAAAATTTCCATCACCGAGATACTCAATAAAACCTTTGAGGTCTTGATAATCACAGATCATAAAATTTAAAATCTATACTACAGAGATTTTTTCGTGATATTAATCCTGAATCTTACTCTTCAGGTCCAAACACTAGTTTTAAGCCAAACTTCAACCAAATACTAATTACCTATAAAAAAGACACCAAAAAAATTTTTATTTAAAATTATAGCTTTTAATCATAATTTTAAAAAAGTCATAATATTATTTATTTATTATATAGGTAATACATGCATTTCGTCAATTAAAAATTAAATTTAATAAATTTTTAAAAATTTTTTACACATTTCTTCTTTTTTTTAAATATTTTTCATCAAAAAATTATTTTTAACGGCGCCCGTAATATCCATATCCATAATTATTTCCCCATCCCCAACCATTCCAAGGCCACCACCAGCCTCCTCCACCACCATAGCCTCCCCAGCCATAACCACCATATCCATGATGGTGGTGATGTCGGCGTACTAAAAATTAATATAATATAATACAGTTGGACACCATGATACGCTAAATATAAGTAAGACACAATTTGCTATTTGGATGTAGGGTTGCTGGTTCGGAACCAGCTAGCAAAAAAAGGATTTTTCTGTCGGTCATTTTGTTCTTATTCGGTTCTGTTCCGGAGTTCCTAAGATTTTTCGGGAACAGACAACTCTAGATAAGAGCATTGTTTTGAAGGTTATTTATTTAAGATATAACTCGTAAAATATAATTTTTTCAGATACAAGTTGTATCCCTATTAGAGATCTAACTGGGTCTGGACCAAGACCTAGGGTTTTCGTGTACCCAGAGTCCAGACCCAGGCATTTTTGACCTTCCTGGGATTTTCCTGGGCCTGGGTTTTTCCTGAACTACAGGCCCATGATCCGGCCCAGGTCAATCAATCAAGCACAGGAACAGGCCTAGGCTTTTAAAAATCTCGATCTCTAATCACTATAATTTTTCGACTGTATTTTATTTAAAAAATATTTAAAGGGTCTTCTTATGAAAAAAATTTTTTTAATGAAAAAACTATGCCTCTCTCATTTTCAGAATTTTCAGAATTTTCTAGCGAGTTTACATTCACAAATATTAAATTAAATAATAAAATAAAAAATAAAAATAAAATAAAATTTAATTTAAACATCATTTTTGAATAATTTTAGATAATGTAAAACACAAAAAATAATTTAAGGTAATACAATTTAATTTTATTTATATTCAAGTTGGACAGATAGAAATTGATTAAAGACCATTTTTGGAGAGAATTAATCATTCACATCCTTTTTAAATTTTTTCTTGTGATTTTTTCAGTTAATTTAACATTTTAAATTTTATTTGGTACAAGTTTCCACATACCTAAATTAATTTATTTCCAGACTATAAAATACAAAGAATATTTTTAGTTGTGTTAATCAACTCAAGAATTAAATAGAATTTATTTTTAAAACATTTATTTGACGAATAGTAAAGTTAAAAAAATTTAAAGAAGATAGATAGTTTTAAAATTAATGAGAATGTCAATACAAATTTATTTTAAATATTTTCCAAAATTTGGTAGTGAAGAAAGAATTTAATTGCAAAAATGTGAAAAATAAAATTTTTTTTAAATAAGAAAAATTTTTTTCTTGTCTTAATAGTTGATTTAATGACCTTGAAGATTTTAGAGAATTCGAGAAAAAAATTGGGGCAGCATAAATGAATTCTTTTTGGGGGTTGTTGGGGTTGAGACTTGTCAGTGTTTCTGGATCGGGATTGGTTCTCTATACATATTAATACAGTCGGACTTAGCTTATGTGTACCCCACATTAATACATAGACCCTCAATTTAGTGTACTTTCTTTTAAAAATTAGTTTTGCCATTGGGGGGGGGGGGGGGGGGGAAGAGTTTTTGGAGTTTTTTAGAGTCTTTTGTGTTGCACCGGAAGTTCCGGTTCCGGTAGGCCGGAAGTTCCGGGATTTTTTGGTTCTCTCAGTTCCGGTTCCGGTTACTACTGTCTATGCAATATTCCCCTTTAAGAATATCATTATAGAGTAAAATTTTTCGGTCCCAAGAGCATACTATAACTAAGTAAGGTCCGACTGTATATGATTTTTTAAATTATCGGGAACATGATGATATAGTTTCCATACAAAATTAATTTAAAAAATTAAATTAAAAATTAAAATAATAAAAACAAAAATGCAAATCATTTCACCATTAAATCGTCTAAAAGAATTTCCTCCACTGTGTTGAGGCCGAATTAAATTTTGTGAAGTAATTGACTGCTCTGGCTGTGGAGGAAGTTGAGGAAGAGGAGGAGGTGCAGGAGGGAAATTGCCTGTTCCATAAATGCCTTCTGTCGGAATACACGGATTTGGAGGTGGACGGCACTTGTAAGTAACAACTTAAAACTTGAAATACAATCGGACCTTACTATGAAATCTGGGGCTAAAAAACATATTTTATAATGATGGGTATTTCATTATATAGGTTAAATTTTGCCTAGGGTTAAGTTTTCCATTTAAATTAAATTTACCTGGAGCTGTTCTGTAAGACTGAAAATGAGGCTGTGGTGGAGGGGGTAGCGGTGGTGGAGGAGAAGGTGGAGGTGGAGGCCTTGTGAAAGGAGTTGTACTTGTTGTTGTAAGTTCTAAAAAATCACAAATTAGGTCCATTAACTTACTATTAAACTGATTATATAAAAAATTACTTGTTGTTGGAGGGGTATTATATGGCTGTGGTGGTGGCCATAAAGGCACGGGATACTGATCATCTAGAAATTAAGTTATTCAATTTAATTAAAATATTGTATTCAACCATCCCATCGGGCTATATTTTTCAATCATCCCTCCTCTTGATTGGGAGAGGTGAGAGGTATTAATGAGGAGGTACTACATAATTCAGCGGGAGACCCTATTTTTTCAAGTCTTCCAAATGGGAGGCAGTCTTCCATAGGGCCATATTTTCCAACCACCTCAACTGATTAGGAAAGGGAAGAGGTGAGTGATTAATGAGTGATCAATCATTAATTAATGAGTGATTCAGATTCAGAGGGAGACCCTATTTTTCAAGTCTTACAATGGGTTTTTATTAAAGAGGCACTCTAATTCCGGGGGCTTTATTATAAGTAATACGATAAAAGTTTTATTAAAAATAAAAATTAAGTATAAAATTAACTACCAGGGCCCTATTTCAATTGTCCACAGATTCTGCGGTCTGCGTTCTGTGCACAGACCACAGAACCACAGAAATTCTGTTTCAATTATTCCACAGATTCTGCGGAAAAAGAAGTCCGCAGATTCTGTGGAAACATGCACAGAATCTGTGGAAACATCCACAGATTCTGCAAAACATCCAAAAACATGCAAAAACCACAGAATTCTATTTCAATTATTTTTCTGTGCACAGAAAAAAATCCACAGATCTGTGGCTTTTTTAGTCGATTCTGTGCATTTCTGTTTCAATTATTTCTGTGGTCTGCGGAAAATACACAGAATTCTTTAAAAAATCCACCCTAAAATTTTTTCTGCGAACTTTCTGTGGAAAAACTTTAACAATTTTTTTCTAGGCCTAGGCTTAACCAAATTTCAAAATTTTTAAAGATTATTAAAGTTTGAATCATTCTCTATTTTTTGATATAAAAATTATAATTTTATTACCTAAAATTATTGCTTAAAATTAATTTTGAAAAAGGTACATCTTTTTTACGCAGTTTTTGTTATATTCAAGCAATAAAAAAATAAAAAACGTGAGAGATTCTGAAATTTAGAGCTATGATGTTCTAATCATCATGGATATCTCTAATGAGGGGATGTTTACCAGGATCTATAGAATATATCTGTATAGCGTATACTGGGATATCTCCCATGATCTCTCATTGATATCCGTCATAATCTCTCCTCCTATTTAATGATAGATTTCCTCCTTAATCACTCCAATATATTAAACCTCAAAATCAATGGATATCCCACTTAATCACTCCTCTACGATTTTAAAGTTCCGATTTGACTATAATTTTGGATTCCAGGCATTTTCGATTTCCAGGAACCTCAATTTCTGACTAAACAATCCCCAAACATTTCCCTCCCTTGCAACAACTTCTATCGTAGTTTGAAAAAGCCACATGTCGGATCGACATCTCCTGATTTTTCCGATCCGAACCCTGCTTTAGGACATTAATTTAATTGGAGATTTAAGGATATTGGATGAACAAGAAAATTAAGCGGTATATCAGCGGTTTTAAAGTGATATCAAAGAGATTTAAAGGGATGTTATGTGATTTGGAGGGAAAATTTTTAAATCTTTACAATATTTTTCAGTTTAATTTAAGAATTTTTAAAGTTTTACTTCAAAAAATCAGGTACCATTAATACTGCGGTAGTACCGAACTGTCCAAACCATTTTTCGTTTCAATAAAGTTATAGGTCCCGAAAAATCGAAAAACCAAAGGGGGGACCAAGCACATTTTTGGGGTGAAAAATTCGAAAATGCAAATTATACCTCATTCGAAAGAGCTCGTCGAGCTGAGTCGAATGACACCAAAATCAGCTTGATTGAACAAGTTTGATTCGAGATATAGGGCTCGAAATGGTCAAAAACCATAGAGGGGATTTTATGGTCAAAAATTCGATTCCACAAATGTTAGCTCATTCGAAAGAGCTCGACAAGCTGAGTCGAATGACATCAAATCACCGTGATTGGACAAGATTAGACAAAGTTATGACACAAAAAACAAAAAACCTAAACCTATGGGGCGTCGGCGAGGCGCTTGTGCAAAACCCCGCGCTTCGCGCGGGGTTTTGCGGCACGCGCCTCGCGGGGAGTCTACGGGCGGTGGGTCTGGGCTCGTAACATAAACCTATTCCTATCTCCCTTGCTCTAGACGTATTTGGGGCCTCCGTAGCAGCAAAAATCTCCACAAATGACATAGGTAAGGAGCTAAAACAAACGGTCATAACTTTGTCAAATCAAGTCGGATTTTGTTGATTTTGGTGTCATTCGACTCAGCTCGACGAGCTCTTTCGAATGAGGTATAATTTGCATTTTCGAATTTTTCACCCCAAAAATGTGCTTGGTCCCCCCTTTGGTTTTTCGATTTTTCGGGACCTATAACTCGGTCCAGAATTATTTCCTAAAGTAGGGAGTGGTACCGTTCGACTCAGCTCGTCGAGACGAATCGAATGGCATATGTCACGTCCCGAACTTTTACCACCGGTACACTACACTACAGCCAAAAATTTTTATTTTAAATATTTTTAAATTTCCTAGTATTTTTATATAAAAATTTTTTTTATTATAAATATTTTTTTTCTTTTATTAAAATCAAAAATAAATTTGTTAGGGAACAATAAAAGAAAAATAAATTTATTTTTAATTTATTTTTCCTTTATTTTTTTCTTTAAATCAAAATTAAAAACTAAAAAAAATTTTTAATAAAATAATTCTTCTAATTTCTTTTCTGATTAAAAAATTTATGAATCAAGGAAGAAAGGAAAGCAAAATTTAAAAGATAAATTGAAGAATATTTTTTTTAACTTATGGAAATTGTCTTTGGAAATAAATTGTACATATAGAGTTGCCAGCTCGCTCGACCCGAAACTCGAAAGATTGAGCGAGCCGAGGCTTTTCAGCTCGAAAAGCTCGAAAACGAACCGAATCGAAAAAAATCAAGCTGAAAAAATGCACCGAACGTCGGCTCGAATCGAAAACGGCAACCCTAACCCTGTATAATGTAAAAATTGAGAGTTCTTACTCACTTATTCTTACACTCTTTTTAGCTCAGAAAAATTATTAATCGAGCTTAAAAATTATTAGTGGAGCTTAACGATCAGTCAAACCCTCGGATATTGAGATTAAGTTTTTTTCCATATGAAAAATACAAAAACTTTTTTGAACTAGTTCCTGGATCAGGCTCTTCGGAAACCTCATCTTTTTAAGTCGATTTTCATAATAATTTCAAGAAACTTTATCTTTCTCTCGATCCCTTAGTTAACAATACAATACATGTGGATGTTTAAAGGTTAGGGTTAACTTTTACAGAACATTTCTGGGGCAAAATAAAAGTTCAAAATCTAAGATTTAAAATTTTTTAGTTTTTAAAATGTATTTCCAAACATTCTTGTTTACTTGCACTTTATGTTTACCCAATATGGCATTTCCTATTATCGAATTATTCAATTGATTATACGTGGATTTTTTAGATGTCTCAATCACTCACATAGAGAGTGGTTGTTGAATTTCCCTCTCTCCCCTGACTCTCTCCTTCCCCCCCCCCTCCTCTCCCCCCCCCCTCTCCCCATTTTCAAAATTTTATTTTATTCACTCACTCATTGTAAATTATTGCCCTTCTTCACTTTATTAAGAAAAATGTTTTTAAATTCAAAATTATTTTTATTTATTATTCTTGTTTTAACAAAAAATACGTATCAATCTGGAGATGATAAAGCAAAATGGACTATGTCGGATGCGGAGGAATATTCCTCCTCGGAATGTAAAATATTTCTTTTTTCTAGAATTTGTTTATTTTTTTTTATATTTTAAATACGGATAGGGGATATGCTTGGATATTGCAGGAGGGTCTTCCTTATGTCAGATTTTTTCATTGTTTGGCGCAGACGGGAGAAATTTTTAAATTTTTTCAATAATAATTATCGACATCGGAGTGTATTTTTGCTGGAAGAGGCCAAAAAGCGGCAGACGGAAACGGAAGGGCAAAAAAAGACGTAACCAATTCCCTGCGAGAATACAGAGTCGAGGGCGGTAGGAAAAATTTTGGGCAGAAGTTCCGACCAACTTATGTTGGATTTTCTCAGATTCCCTTACGAGTGATTACCGAAGCGACTATAAACCCTTAGGTAACTTGTCACCTTGTAAAATTCTTAATCTTCATCTAAAATTCATCTAAATTAAGCTTCAAATGAAAATTGGATACATTTACAAACAGACCATTTATTTTCATCAATATACTCCCATCCTTCAAGTAGCTATTCACCTCAAATTCCCCAAATTGATCCAAGATTCATCTTTCCACACATGTTAATACCTCAAACAAGCATAAAAGATTGCGAAAATGATTTAAAAAATGAAAATTTGACAGAAGAACAAATTCAGAAAAATGAGGAAAATGAAAGAAAGAAATTTTCAGAATTGGTTAAGGAACATTTTATTAAATTTGGTTGGCCGGAAGAGGAAAAATTTCAGAATGGAAAGGTAATTAGGGATATTAAAAATGAAAAAATATTCATCTTAATAATCATCTTAATATTCATCTTAATAATTGTGCTTGATTTAAAGTAATGACTACAAGTCAATGAAAACCTCAAGGAACTCAGAACCTATGAGCAAATTAAGTAAAAACTATATACCTAGATAATATAACTCGAAATGTGTTAATAGCTGCTAAATAGATATTGAAATTGCGATTGTTGAATAAAGTAATGCGGTTGGCAGTAGCTCAGTGCATTGTTGTGAGTTAATGTTATAAACAGAGTCGCGCATGGTTTAATCTCCGTAGAGGTGAGCATATTGCGCGTACATATGTCCCTTAAAGACACAATGGTATGCCTCTTGTGGCTCTAGATAAATGTAGAGGTGATAGAAGGTATGATCACATTAGTAACATGTCAATTTCTAATTATTCCAAAATAATTTATAATTTTTCTCTGTCCAGGATTATTTGCTAAGCAAAAATATCTTAACAAAAATTGATAATTGGCTGTTAACAGTAATTGAACCAAATAATAAAGCATTTGAGCAAACATATAAATCGATAGAACCTGATTTTGGCCATACCAGGGATAAAGTAATGAAAATAGTACTTGATGCAGTAAATGAATATTCGAGGTTTTATTAGTTAAGTTAATTTATAATCCAATTTTTTTGATAGTTGTGTAATCAGATCAAACCAAACAAAGATTATTATGATAACTGGGCCCTTGTCACTGAATAAAATGAACGAAAAATGGGAAAAGGACTTTACGTTCAACGGTTTAGTTAATGAATATAAGGTATTTTGAAATTTATTGTAATATAGACGAATAATGAATAGGCTCAGTAATTAGTAAGCCCTATTTACCTCTCCAATAAATTTGGACATAAAATATTATTATTTATTTTCGTGGCTAAATAATATATCTAGGCTGTGCAAATTATAGTTTGTTGTGTCCAAAAGGATAGAAATAAATAAGCCCAAATAATATACAGCTTTACCTCAATTTTACATAATCCCAAACTAACTAATTCTCAATTTGGATACTTTTTTCAAGTTGGTGAGTAAGTTAGAGCTGCCTAAGCGATACCCACAATTTAAAACACTCATTATCAAGGCTTAAATTATAAGACACTCATAATTTAAGATGATTAAAGTGAAAAAATTTATTAGATGGGAGATTATGGAACCAACAAGGAATGAGTTAAGACCTAAGTATACATTGTCTATAACTACCATGCTACCATTGAAGCCTTTATTTTAACTCATTTATATTTTTTCTGGGAGTACGTGCACAACAGTAGCTATAGGCTTTACAATATTTTAATAATAAAATTCAATTATTAAAATTTAAAAAAATTTATTCAGTTTGATGATTCAATAAAGCATTCAAAAACAACGCATTTTTTCAAAATTTTATTAATTGAAATTGAAAAAGAAAAATATTGTGTTGATGTACTTATAATTAGAGCTATTAGACATTTATTTAAAGGAATTCTATCTAAAGGAAAAAATCCTAAGGATTGTGGGAAGGAAAAATTGAATGAATTTGGAGACGATTGGAAGATCCAGCTTGAATTTATTGAATGGTATTTGGGTATAGATTTGGATGAATTTATGGAAGCAGTTGGAATTGGATATATTAAAAATATTAAAAGTAAAAAAATTAATTATAAGACATTCAAGAATAGGTATCAGGGGTGGGGATGGCCCCGGAAGCCGGCCCGGGAGCAAACTCCGGAGCTGGTGTCAAGATACATCCAACATGCCGCTTCCACTATCCACAACATGTACATCCAATATCCCCACCCCAATTTAAGACACTTACTGGTGTGGGTGTGGGGGAAAGAGGCCAACAAACAATAACATAACTAAACAATAACCACCTAAACAATCCATGCTTTATATTACAGTGAGTTTTTAATTATAAATAAATTTAGGTTGTCACAATCACCATTTAACTGGGAAATATAAGCAAATTAAATCAAATAAAATTATTTCAAATACCATAATAGAGCCAACATTTGAACACAAATTTAATAAAGTTTGTGAAAAAGAATCGGATAAGCAAAATATAAGAATTTATAAAGTAAAAAGTTTAAAATTTTAGTCACAGAAAGGGCAATTCTTAGGGGTGTATATTTAGCCTCGATCCTCGGCGAGGTTCTTGGCGAGGACCGAGCCGAGGTTCCGAAGCCCGAGGCTGATCAATCCGAGAGAGAGAGAGAGCAAAATGGGCGAGGACCTCAGCCTCGGCAAGGCCTTGCCCTCGTGATACTTTAATATATATGTACTAGCAATAAGGTCAACATATTTTGCTTCCACCCTCGGACTACTAACTTTTTGACCCTTTTGTCTTACATTTTTATTTTCCCTTTTTCCCCGCTTCTGCTTTTAAATTGCGGAGGGGTCCGACGACCCGTTTAAGATTTATCCATTATTAAAATATGTATGTAGCATACTAAATATTATGAAAGTAAATAATATTTTAAGGATTTTTTGGTCAGCTTTGATAGAAAAAGAAAAATACCAAAATGGACATTAGAGTTACTTGATCCTCTAATTATCAATAAAATACAAAGAGGTGGTCGTTGTCTTAGATGGGATATAGATCCAAAATATAAAGTAGAATTTCAACCAACATTTCATGATTATGATGATGGAAAGGTTCATTATCTACTTATTTTTTGTGATCATTCTGAAATTATTTTTAGCGACACGAGTTGGAACATGGACATAATGTTCCGGCTTATAATCACCCAACAAATGTTAAACAAACATTTTACTATACAAATTCGGCTCCTCAGAATGGGCATATTAACGGAGGACATTGGCGGATTATTGAAGAATATATCTTGTAGGAGATTTAATTTATTTATTGTAGGTATCCCGTCAGCTATTTTAAATAGCAAACACATCAAATTTAAAAATTTATTCATATATTTTCAAAATTTAAATTAATTAATAATGCGAAGGTCCGAAAAAAATCCCTGATATCCTGAGCTTTTAGAGCCAACCCGCCTCAAAAGCTCTTCTCATATAGTCTGGTCAAATTCCACGTAAATATTCCTCTATTTTTTTGGGCATGGTAAAAGTACCGTTTAGAATTATGAATTTTACTTATATGTAGCATGGTCCCATTACCCATCAAATATTCCTTCTATACTCTATTCCAATACTGATTCAGAATGCCACGTATCATATAGACACTTTCCTTTATCTATTAATTTTAATATTACTTAAAGTTGTATGGCAAAAAGTGGACAAACAAGTGTTTATACAGGCCCATTATTCCTTCCTAAAGAACAAATAATGAAATTTATGCTTATCGGCAAAAGCGAATTAGCAGTACCCACAAATTTCTTTAAAATAGCTATAGTAGAGTATTTAAATGATATTGGAGAGATAAATTATTGGATTGAAGCATTTGTTCTTCCAAATGAATTTAATGAATTGATGATTAAAGAAATTGAAAAAGAAATTCCTTTATATAAATTAAAGGAAAAATTGCCTGAATTTGTATTCAATTGTCGAAATGCCGGTTATAAAATTAATCAAAAAGAAAACTCGAAAAGAATTAATATCCACAATTTGATAGCTAATTATAGCGAATCTGTTGACTTTATTGAGCAAAATTCTGAATTTAGAATTTTGACTAAAATCAAAAAAGCAATTAAAAATTTAAAAGGAGGGCATAAATTCCATAAAGATAAAGCTGGGGAATTTCAAATTATTAAAGAAAAAGTTGTGGAAGAAAAATATAGGAAGGAAGAATTAGAAAATTTAGAGGATGAACATGAGGAAGATGAAGTTTTAGAGAATATTTCGGTTAAAGAAACAAATACAGATAAATTGAAGACACAAAAGACAGATAAATTGTATGCCAAAAATGATAAGAAAAAGAAAGAAGATAAACGAGAAAAAAGAGTAAGTTTGGTGTTGATAACATCGTCCTGAAATACGAGGTCCATCTCTAGATAATCCAATCATATAGTTACTAAAAGTAACAAGAGTCAAAATAAATAAATAAGTACTAAAAGGGTCATCCAAGAGGTTTAATATTCCTCTTAATCGGAGAAGATGATATCCTTCTTAGTCGATAAGTTTATTGTTCAGATGAGGCCTGTTAGGTATAAGAAAAAGCTCTAAGAAAAATGATTCTACGAAGTCACTGGTGACTAGGGTTGGATTATTCTAACGAGGGTCATACGACACTTGCAGATATGACATTTGCAGACCCGACATTTGCAGACGACTTTTGCAGATCGACATTTGCAGATACCGACACTTGCAGATATGACACTTGCAGATCAGACATTTGCAGATCCGACTTTTGCAGATATTAATTTTTGAAAAAAAATTTAAAAAAATTTCAAAATCTTAAAAAATCAAAGGATATAGTATAGTATACCCGTGGAAAGGTTTTGATATAAGACCCATACCAATTCGTCTCAACGAGCTGAGTCAAACGATACCACTCTTTTTTCCGGAGATTCTCTTTTTTCCGGAGGTTCAAAATGTTCAACGTAGACCTATGGAGCGCCGGCAAGGCGCTTGTGCACAACCCCGCGCTTCGCACGGGGTTTTGCGGCACGCGCCTCGCGGGGAGTCAACGGTCGCTGGGCTCTGGGCCCGTAACATGATCCTATTCCTATCATCGATGAGATGGGCATCCCAGGATTCCTCCACAGCAGCAAACACTCCACGGTGTATAGGTAAGGTAAAGAAGTGAGCGAAATGGGTCTAATCTGCAAAAGTCGGGTCTGCAAATGTCTGATCTGCAAGTGTCATATCTGCAAGTGTCGGTATCTGCAAATGTCGGGTCTGCAAAAGTCGGGTCTGCAAGTGTCGGGTCTGCAAATGTCATATCTGCAAGTGTCGTGACACGCTAACGAGGCCCCCGACCTTACTAATGACGGAAGTATGAGCGACAAAGTTAACGAGGATAAAATATACATAGAATGACCATTCCGTTGAAGGAAACTCCGTTGAATTCTCTCTCTATAATAGAATGCATCTTAGAAAGATGATTGAAAATAGAATGCTCGAGCATTCAATCGGAGGACGATAATTTGTCGGATCATGATCT